CTGGATTTTGTTTTTTACCTCTGTGCAACATTCCATAGTGCACATATCCCATAATGTCTTTATCCAGTCCTCAGTTGACGGGCATTTAGGTAGATTCCATGTGTTAACTATTGTGAATTATAAACAAGGGGGTGCAGCTAACTCTTCTATTTACTGATTTCATTTCCCTTGGGTAAACTCCCAGGAGTGAGATGGCTGGGTCATATGGTAGGTCTATATTTAGATTTTTGAGGTATCTCAATACAGTCTTCCACAGTGGCTATACCAGTTTACATTCCTACCAACAATGGATTAGGGTATCTTTTTCCCCACACCCTCACTAGCATTTGTTGTTTGTTGATTTCTGCATGAAAGCCATTTTAACTGTGGTGAAGTGAAACCTCATTGAAGTTTTGATTTGCATTTCCTTGATGGCTAGTAATCCGAAACATTTTTTCATGTCTCTGTTGGCCATTTAGATTCCTCTTTTGAAAAATGTCTGTTTAAGTCCTTTGCCCATCTGTTAGCTGGGTTATTTATTTTGCTGTTGTGGAGTTTCTTGATTTCTTTGTATAATCTCATTATTAATCCTTTATCAGTTGCATAGTTTGCAAATAATTTCTCCCATTCTGTTGGTTGTCTCTTCACTTTGCTGCGTGTTCCTTTGCAGTACAGAAACTTCTCAATTTCATAATCCCATTTGTTAATTTTGGCTTTGACTGCTTGTGCTTCTGGGGTCTTTTCCAAGAACTCTTTGTGCTAATCTCTTGCAGGGTTTCCCCAATGTTCTCTAATAATTTGATGGTGTCAGGTCATAGATTTAGATCTTTAATCCAGGTTGAGTGGATTTTTGTGTAAGGTGTAAGATAGGGGTCTTGCTTCATGCTTCTGCATGTGCAAATCCAGTTTTTCCAGCACTATTTGTTGAAGAAACTATCCTTGCTCCAGGGATTGATTTTAACTCCTTTGTCAAATATAAGTTGGTTGTAGATGCTTGGATTTATTTCTGGCATTTCTATTCTGTTCGATTGGTCTATGCATCTGTTTTTGCACCAGTATCAGGCTGTTTGTTTATAACTGCCTACTAGTATTTCTTGAAATCTGGTATTGTGGTGCCTCCGGCTTTTTTTTTTTTAAGATTTTTTATTTATTTATTTGACAGGTAGAGTTATAGACAGTGAGAGAGACAGACAGAGGGAAAGGTCTTCCTTTCATTGGTTCACTCCCAAAATGGCTACCACGGCTAGAACTGAACTACGCCAATCTGAAGCCAGGAGCTTCTTTTCTGGTCTCCCACGTGAGTGCAGGTGCCCAAGCACTTGGGCCATCCTCCACTGCCTTTCCGGGCCATAGCAGAGAGCTGGACTGGAAGAGGAGCAACCAGGACTAGAACCCGGCTCCCATATGGGATGCTGGTGCCACAGGCAGAGGATTAACCTAGTGCACCACCATGCCAGCCCCTCCAGCTTTGTTTTTGTTGTATAAAATTGCTTTAGCTATTTGAGGTCACCTGTCTTTCCATATGAATTTCAGCATCATTTTTATCTAGAACTGAGAAGAATGCCTTTGGTATTTTGATTAGTAACACATTGAATCTGAAAATTACTTTCGGAAAAATGGACATTTTTGATGATATTGATTCTTCCAATCCATGAACATGGGAGATGTTTCCATTTTTTGTATGTTCTCCTATTTTTTTTAATGTTTTGTAATTCTCATTGTAAAGATTTTTGACATCCTTGGTTAAATTTATTCCAAGGTATTTGATTTTTGTTGTAGCTAATGTAAATGGGCTTTATTTTAGAAGCTCAATCTCAGCCTTGGCATTGTCAGTACATACAAACACTGTTGATTTTTGCATGTTGATTTTTATATCCTGCTACTATACCAAATTCTTTTTTGGTGAAGTATTTTGGATTTCCTATATATAGAATCATGCCATCTGCAAATAGGGATAGTTTGACTTCCTCCCTCCCAATTTCTATCCCTTTGATTTTTTTCTTGCCTAATGGCTCTGGCTAAAACATCCAGGACTATATTACATATGAAGTGGGCATCCCTGTCTGATACTGGATCTCAGTGGGAATGCTTCAAACACTTCCCTATTCAATAGGATGCTGGCTGTGGGTTTGTCATAAATTGCCTTGATTGTTCCTTCTAGAATGTTCCTTCTATACCCAATTTGCTTAGAGTTTTCATCATGAAAGGGTGTTGTATTTTATCAAATGCTTCTCTGCATCTATTGAGATAATCATATGGTTTTTGTTCAGTAGTTTATTAATGTAATGTAACATTGATTGATTTGCAAATGTTGAACCATCCCTGCATACCAAGGATAAATCCCACTTGGTCTGGGTGAATGATCTTTCTGATGTGTTGTTGGATTTGATTGGCTACAATTTTGTGGAGGATTTTTGTGTCTATGATGATCTCCTCTCCTCAAAGGAGACAAGTGCCTTAACACTAGCCCTAGTGGGTATAATATTTGTCTGCTCTGCCCCAAGAACCACACAAAGGATCTGTGCAGCCCTCTTTGGAAGCTCATATTCACCAGCATAGTCCATCATCAGGTAACCAGGAAGCCCTAAGCATGTTGAGTCTTCCACAGTAACAGCCCAAAGTCCCAGCCACACTGTGAGTCCTCTCACACAGTCTCAGTTTTTTTTCACAGTTCTGGCACACAAGCCCCCCACACTCATGATCACGAAGCACCCTGTTAGTTCTCCCCATCAGAGTCAGGAGTCTCTGCTCAGCTGGTTGCTGGGTGCAGACAAGAGCTGGTGCAGCTGATAAATATGTCCAAAATGGTGCCCACTCTATCTGCTTATTACAAGATGTCATTGTAAGGTGACTGGGGAGAGATAAATGTGTCCCTCCTTTTTTGTTTCTTCTCTAGTTTGGCAGGTACACTATCACCCACAAGGCTCCAAGCCGGGTTCCCTCTAGGCTCTTCCTGCAGCTTTGTTGCCAGTGGCTTGGGCTGCTACAGTCTGGTCTCACCTCACTCTCCAGTGCTGGTACATTGGCTCTCTGCAGCTCTGGTCCTGAATTGTGGGCATCCACGCCCTCCACATAGGTCCACTGTGTCCCTTTACTTTGTATAGAGTTTCCTCTGCCATTTTCTCCCTAACTCTTCCCTGAGACTACACTCTCTCCACTTTTTTTTAAACTGTCTTCTCCTAGACTAGAGCAGTAAGTTCCTTCCCTACTCTGCCATCTCGGAAGCCATGTGTATTCTTCTTCCCAATTACTGTTACCACATTATAAGATTATCTATGTCCTTGAAGTCAGTAATGAACATTAAAATTAAAAAGGTTTCATATCATATCCATTACATTGTAAATACTGTATAAAAATTGAGGAAATACCATACAGCATTAAAGAAGTATGATTAGAGTCAATAAATAGGTTGCCCATATCAACAGATGAATGATTGAAGTTGTGAAATAACCTTTATTATTTTTCTTCTGGCTTCCTCATTCAGCTCAAGGTGAAAATAATCAACTGACATTTATATTAGAACTAACTCAGTCATCAATTGCCATCAAAAGTTTGATTATGGACACAAGAGTTTATTAAAACTCAACAAAAGCATGTTTTGTGAATTAATTGGCTAATAAAATTCACAATTTGCTCACTACATATTTTTATTTTCAGTTAAGTTTAAAATAAACTCACATAAATACAACATATAGACAACTGTTAAACAGTTGCAAACATACCACTGCTTTCTACCAAATATCACAAGTCAAAAATCCAAGCTTATACCCAGAATCTGGCTGATAGAAACAAAATGGTAGTAAAATTGGAGATGTGAAATAGATAAGTAGGTGCACATAACTGTTTGGGGCATTTAGGAATAAAGGGAATAGTAACTAGTGACGGGTTTGGGGTCAAGAAGGAGTTTGAAAGAAAATAGATACAAGAACATATATGCTGGTGAGAATGCTCTAGTAGAACAGAGAAAAGTTGATGACAATGGAAAAAGGGATTGTTACAGGAACAACATCCTTGACAAAGGAGGAAATAGGATCAAGACACAAGTGGAACCATTCCATATCTATTAGATCAAAATTCAGAACATTGACAACATCAAATGTTGGTGATGATATGAAACAACGAGAACTCTCATTCACTGCTGGTGAAAACACAAAACCATATAGCTACCTTGGAAGACAGTTTAGTGGTTTCTTTCAAAAGTAAACATATGAGGCCGGCTATGTGGTAAAGCCACTGCCTGCGATGCTGACATCCCATATTGGCAACAATTTGTGTCGCAGATGCAATCCAGCTCCCTGCTAATGTCCTGGGAAAAGGCAGCAGAGGATGTCCCAACTACCTGGGCCCCTGTCACCCATGTGGGAGACCTGGAAGAGGATTCTGGCTTTGGCCTGGCCTAGACCCAGCCATTGCAGCAATTTGGGGAGTGAACCAGTGGATGGAAGATTATCTCTCTCTCTTTCTCTCTCTCTCTCTCTCTCTCTCAATCTGGCTTTCAAATAAATAAGTCTAAGAAAAACTGAATGAATAAGTAACTTGTGATACATCCAGACAATGCAATATTATTTAGCATTAAAGGCAAAAAACTGGGCACATTTCAACTACAACTGGAACTCAAAGTACATTAATGTCAGTGTGGCTGATTTTCAAGATGCATATTTGATCTTTTAAGAAAGCTCTATATTTGGCAGAAAACAGCAAACTAACCACCCAGCCTCTCATTTGCTAACACTTTCAATACTCTATTGCTAACAGATAGAAAAATGGATGGATGGTTGGGTGGATGGGTAGATGGTTGGATAGATAGATAGACAGACAGATACATGGATACATAGATAGATACATGGATACATAGATGGGTTCAGTAAGATTGATCTATCTATCTATCTATCTATCTTTGGGAATAAGTCACACCACACTGTTACTGATGCTGTCCTTCATGGTAGACAAATCTTTCCGGGATACAGGAAGCCAGCTGAGGGGAGCCCCTCTTGGGAAAATAGTCTTTAAAAACGTCTTACTTGTTACCCCAATAAGAGTTGTAATGGCCAGATCCTGGAACAGAAACTGGTAATTTGAAAGGCTGTTTGTCTCCTGAAAATAAAAAGGAAAGCATATTTTCTTAAAAAAAATAATAATCTCTGGATGAAGTTTTACATCGACTGCATTCATTTTCTCTCTAAAACATAGGATTTTCCAAATAAATGGCCAGGGAGATGGTGTGGTCAGGTATGTTGGGGTGGTGAGCAGTGGTGTTGGAGGACACAGGCCACACCATGCCTGTGACACTCTCTGACCAGCAGGGGCTGAGTCTTGGTGCATCACTGTTACTGTTGGTGAGGGAAACATTCCTCTCTACCACATTCACCTGTGGCCTTTTCTACTTATTAGCAGGAAATATAGGCTTCAGTCTGGCTCAATATAAGACTACATCCCCAACAGTAAAAAGTGGCATATATGTGACAGTACTACCTAAATTTTACTGATGGAAAATGAGAATAACTGAATCTACTATTTGTGCATTAGGTGTTGTTAGATGAGACGTTAGAACATCCTAACCTAGTCTGTTAATACTGTGGGAGTAAGTTTTCAGGGCTTAATGATTTCAACGAAATGACTTCCTTATTCTTCATCTCTTGGTGGGAAGACCTTAATGAGATCTCATATTTGATTCTAATTTTGAGTATAAGTTATTGATATTCAAAATATGGCCAAATTTCCATAAATAACCTATATTTCTCTAGCACACTCATCAGTGAATGTGAAAAGATGTAGGTAGGCTGAATGCAATGAAATGAAAATCTGTAACTCAGAGAAAAGAGAAAGATATACAGGTAAACCTAGATACTTACAACACAAATGAAATCCCTTTTCTGGGTGTTAGTTAACAGAATAAGCTCAAATGTTGGGTTCACAAACAATAGCCATGTCTTTTCTCCTTTTATATCTTTTTAAATAAAAAAGCCACCACAAGTTCTATGTGTTTCTTATGGTATAATATGCCAGTTTTCAACTCCCTATATTCAAGGAACCAGTGGTATGATCGTTTGTACTAACTCTGACAAACAATTCTTAAATTTTCAGGAAGGTCGTGAGCTGGCAGTTACATACAAATACAGCATTAAATAAATTATATTAAAAACAAAGTTAATAAATACTTAAAGCTTAGTACTTCCTGATTATTTCCATATATTTTACTGCTGTCTGTATTTGGAGCTGTTCACAACTCTTGAATCTATGCTGTGCAGGTACCATGTAACAGTATGTGATAGGACATCTCTTCCTTACTCAACATTTAGTGACAACACATAGACAGCTTGAACCTGGCTATGATGGAAGTACTAGCCCTGTGTAATTGGTGAACATTAATCAGCAGGACTTGTTTTCCCATGGAGAGCCAGTTACAAAGCATTTGCCAGCACCCCTATCCAGAGACCATCTATTTACCGAGAGATATGTCAGAGAAGAACCAAAATGAAATTGGAAAGACAGACTTGGAGCAAGCAAGTGAAAGCAACAGTGAGAAGAGAAGGGACATATTCATTTCTGATCCTCAGCTACCACCAGTAAAACATTTCTGTTAATACTCAGAGTCAGCACCAACAATTTCTCCTGTGTGTGTTCATCTGCTTCTGATTAACGATAAAATCTTAAGCATCATTTTACAGGGGCTGATGATGCACACGTATATTATTAGCAGTCTTTCCCTAAGAGGCATTAGACATTGAGAGTGCCCGCCGCTTGCTTAGTTCTCACTAACCAAGAGCCTCGGTCCCAAGTCATACCCAGTAGAGCAGCAGAACACCAACATACTGAATCATGCTGTACAGAGCCATGTACTTAAACATGCAAAATGAGGTCACGAGAGCTGCACGTCCTTCCCTGTGTAAGAAAAGAGATGGAAAGGGAATGAGGGGAAAGTAATGGGGAGAAACGAGTCAATTGTGCTATTTGGCTCAGCTCAGGAGAAAAAAGTCAGAAGTTTGATGATGCCATTGTTTTCTGACACACTGGACAGCCCCAAGCCAGTGGGAGCGAGCTGTCAGTGTGCTTCTGAACAACTGTGGAGATGTTCAGGAAAGGCCAGTTCCAGGCCACAGTTCATGGGCCTTGTTCTGGTGAAGAAGCCCAGATATGCTAGGACTCTTGTACCTTCTGTGGACATTGTTCAGCCGCTGTGCTCAAGGGCAGGGATCAGAGAGCTGGCCCCAGATCTCACAGTACTGTGATAGCCCTTGTCTTGGTTTCTTCATCCGTGCATTAAGGGTAATTAACTAAGATTGCAAGTTGGAAGGCTGTGTGTATGCAGGTGCTTCACAAGTCTGACAAATCCCTCATTCAAGATTCACTTTGGCAGTCCCAACTTTTCTAAAACTTGATCAAAATACACACTCAAATTAGCCAAACATCAAATTTAAATAGAACGGATCAGCAATCATATTCACTTGTGTATTGTTGATTGACTTTGAGTAAGTAATACACAGTTTTTTAAAAAGGACTTATAAAATGCCCCTTTTATCTAATCCATTTGTGGAAAAAATAAAGTTTCCAAAATTTACTTATGGTCATAATGATTACCAAGGGTTCCAAAATTCTGACCTTCAAACCAGGTTTTGTCCTGTGTTGCAGTTTCGCTGCTGCTATTTGCTCTGCCTGGAAGGTAGCTTCTCTTTGTTTACCTCCTTAGAACAGTTTTCCCACCTGCTTCTTCCAAAGCAGCCAACTCCACCTCTCCAGCCATCTTGCTACCTTTCTCATTACCAAGTTTGTTTAAACTGACAGTTTTTATCAACCTTGGTAAAATATTATATTTATCATCATTGGTTCCTGGCTCTTTATCCAGTAAATATTTGCCAAATACGTGAATAAACTTAAAAACCTAGAGGAGTCAGTCAAGCAATTAGTTTAATATTATGGAAAAAGGATGATATATGTAAATAAAAAGCATGTAAACAAAGTCAACACTAAAGCAATCTCCAACCACACATAGCTATGTGAGTTTACTTATATTGGTTAAGTACGCTGAGACTCTACTTCTTAATTTTTAGAATGAACAATAACGATCCCTATACCTCTGAGCTGTTTTGAAGTATAAGTAGGCATTAAAGCACTTTTCATGCTGTAAACACATGCTAGTTATAATAACCAAGAGCAGGCACAATGCTACCATTCAATAAAATGCAGCAGATGTACACATTCTGAGGGAGAAAAGTAAAGCATGTAGGGAAATTTCAGTGGAAGTGGCGAAGATCAAAACAAATTTTGAAAACTGGGAATAAGTAGAGTATCTCAAGGAAGAATAAAAAAGCAAGAAAGAAGGAAGGCAAGTGAGTTTCTCTCAATACCCCAGTATAAACCATCAAAGGACATACATTTTTAAGATAAGAGAATAATCAACCTTTTCAAATCAGTCTTAACAAGGTCCAGATTCCAATCATCCAAAAATAACCTAGTCAATATATTTCATTGATAATTCCACTCTTCTCCCAATGTTATTTTAACTTCTGGTACAACCATTTGTCAGTAGAATATTTGATCGTATTTTTCCACAAAACATCTTTTCCCCGCCTAGCAGACACAAAGTTTCCAGATCTTTCCCATTCAGAATATTGTTATCTGCACCTCAAAATGAGAGAGAAAACAGTGCTGGGAGAAGCACCTACTTACTTGATCAGGTGAGGTACACACTCAATGTTTGGAGTTTTGGAAGTGAAAGGTGATGCCACAGATGCTTCCTGCTCTGATAAAGAGATGCCCACATGAGCCATTTTCAAAGCCTGAAAGCAAAGAGTCACCTTAATGTTCATGTAGACTCACACATATCTCTACATAAGAAGAGGCCAGCTGGACACAGGTGTCTTTGTGGGCCCAGACACTAGCCAGGAGAGGATCAACTTTACCCTACCTGTTGCATAAGAAAGAAATAATATTGGAACACATAGTTAAAGCAATAGAAACTCCAGAATCAAATTCCACCCCACTTAGCCTGTCCTGATCAGTAAGTCATTGTGTGTCTTTAAGTCTAAACCTTCCAAATTATCAAAGGGAATAGAGAGAGTGTGTGTGTCCCAGGAGATACCGTCACCAAGGGGCTCCAGAGGAATGGACCTGGTTGTGAGATTCTGGCCTCCCGTGCTTCCAGCTACTTACCCCACAGTCATTGGCTCCATCACCGCACATACCTACAAAGTAACTAAAAGGGAATCATGTCAATTGTACAGGAGATCAAAGCTCTCTTACCAGCTAATTTCTCCAATTAAAAAGATAAGGTGACCATTATAACAGGGTTTAATATTAATATTTATTTTAAGGAGTTTTTCCAAGAGTCTAATTTGACTCAAAGTAAAGTGTGGCTCAGCAGTTACACAGCCCATTGAGAAATCCAGTACATTGTTTCTGACTCTGAGTATTTCATGTACACCCTGCCCCTCACTGTAGAGAGAAGAGATTTTTCAGTTTTAACACAGGATATTCATGACTATGTGATTGAAGCATCAACACACGGTGGAGAGTGCACAAGTTTTGAAACTGTAAGATACAGATTTTTTAAATGTGCATATCATGCATATTTTTATTTTTTAAAGTATTAGCAGACATAGAAAAATTATACATATTTGTGGAGTAATATGTGCTGTTTTGTTCCAAGTATGCCTTGTGTCATATCCCATCAGGGTGAATAGCAGGACTAAACATGGTTAGAACTTGCATAGGGAATTTAGATTTTGACCTTGACAGTGTATCATTTGGGCCATCATTTTACTCCCATACAAAATTATATGGGTATTAAATGAGGTGCTGAATTGGAAGGTGTCTTAAAAGTTTAATGTGGGCCGGTGCCGCGGCTCACTAAGCTAATCTTCCGCCTTGCGGCGCCGGCACACCGTGTTCTAGTCCCAATCGGGGTGCCGGATTCTGTCCCAGTTGTCCCTCTTCCAGACCAGCTCTCTGCTGTGGCCAGGGAGTGCAGTGGAGGATGGCCCAAGTACTTGGGCCCTGCACCCCATGGGAGACCAGGAGAAGCACCTGGCTCCTGCCATCGGATCAGCACGGTGCGCCGGCTGCAGCACGCCGGCCGTTGCGGCCATTGGAGGGTGGACCAACGGCAAAAGAAGACCTTTCTCTCTGTCTCTCTCTCTCACTGTCCACTCTGCCTGTCAAAAATAAAAAAAAAAGTCTAATGTGATAAGTATAAGTTGTTGGTGCTATTAACACTGACAGGAGAAGAACTTCAACCTGTCAGTAGTCACTCAACTCAAAAACACAGTGCCAAGCACAGATGTTGAAGAAGGAAAATGTTTCTGCTGCTTTTGGATGGTTTTTGAGTCTGGGTGGATAATTGGATAATTTTCAATTGAATTGTATACAAAGAGTATTGATAATTTTTTTAAATGCAACATTCACAACACAGGCTTTTGTACTAGTTACCTCATTTTTTCTAACTAGTTTACCCTCTTTCACGCAAGTAGAGGAGACTGGGCTTTCTGATGGAGCTACTATCCTAATGACTAAAGCAGGTGAGTGGAAGGGTAGAGGAGGAGTGAATAGGAGTAGAAGTCATATGGATGTTGTCTAGCATTGCTACATGTGGGCTTCCATGAACAAAAATCAAGGGTCCTGGAAGATGGGCACTTTATTTGGACTGCCCATTCTGTCTAGAAAATGAGAACTTTTATGTTAGAAGATAAGAATTTAGACTGGAGAGAATGCTTTGGCTTAAGAATATTTTAAAACTTTTAGTGTTATAAATTATAAGTCTTGTGTCATATTAATCTCCCTCTATTATAACTGGGATGATACATTATAAAAATGAAATATAAATTCTCATAGTATCCACAAGAACTGAGCTCAGATAACCTCTACAGTCATATTTATCACCATTTACTTCATGTCCTTATGTTCTAGTCCAGTGTTTCTCAATTTTGGATGCTAAATTGTAAAGAACTTTGAAAGAAATGCTAATGTCTAAGCCCCATATGAGAAGCTGAATCAGTATCTCTGGATAGCAGTGTCCTGGTGTTGCTACTTTCTTCAAAGCTCCCTTGCTGATCTTCAAGGGTAGTCATGGTAAGACCAATCCCCTAACCAAACTGTGTCTCTTAGATTCCCCCCTGAGCGTTCTGCCTTCATGCAGTGCCCACCACCTAAATTGGCAAAGAACCTACTCCAGTTTCTGAAACTCTTCCACCAGACTGGATTTCTGCCCAGGAGACATTCTTGCAAAGATGGTCCCATTGATCAGTATCTGTAAGGAAAATTTTTTTATGATGTCAGGTAGTCATACATGAAATTATTAATAACATTCAGAACAATATCAGGGTGATAACATCAGATGAATGAGAAAGTGTTTCCAAGGATCCATTCTTCTAAGGCTGAAATTGAGACTTTGGTCATCAGTTAAATGACCAGTTGAAACCAAACATCGGTAAAGATGACCCATAAGAATTTAGCCCAGGTGTCAAAAAGAACATGGTCCTGAAAAATCTTGAGCTTAATGGAACCTTGAACAAGTAGAGTGTGAGAAATTGCAACATAGAAAGAGGTCATGAAAAGAAGCAACTGCTTCTCGGGAAATCGTTCATAACAAGCAAAGAAACAGCCTCATGGTGAATAGTGGCTATTTGTGGTCTTTGACTTAACCATATTAATCTGGACCTGATCAATTATTAAAGTCAGCAGATATCCCAAAGCTAACCTAGGGTATGGAACATTGATGGCTTGGAGGAAGTAAAACATGAGCCAGTCCTAGCCACCTAAGTTCCCTCCTACAGAATCTAAGTTCTTCTGTGTTAGATCTATGTGTTCCCTGCTCTTCTTGGCAGTAAACTCAGGTTAGTGTTCTCTCAAAGTGTTTATTCTCTTTTTCTTAAATAGTGCCTAAAATGATGAGCAATTGAATATACATAATATCCTTTTATGTTATATTGAACACACCCTTCTCTAGTTGGTTCATATATGCATTAGGACTTCAAAAAGTTTTTAGAAATTTTGTATTATCTTTTCATTCTCTTATTTCCACGAACTTTTTGAAGCCCATTAAAGTTACATACATATACATCATATATATATGTTTATATATAGATACATCATATATATGTTTATATATATATATATATGTCTTCTATAGTTTGTTAAATATAGAGGTACAGATATCTTACTTGTTCCCAATATAGGCTTGTTCTTCACCAGAAAAACTTCAAGTTTAACACTCTGATGAGGGTCAGTACAGAAGTCTCTACCAAAAATCTAACAGAATTTCTTTATTTTTTTATCCTTTAGGCTTTATTTATTCTTTGTCCTTTGTTATTTATTTCTGTATGTTTATAGGATTTCCACTTCCACCATACCATAAGACCACTAATCATGACAATATAGTCACAGCTACCCCAAATCAATCTCTATGATTTGACAAATCATGAACACATTATCCTAGAGGTGGTAGAAATTGGCTTTCAAGTTTATTTAAAATCCAGCAGTAAATGAGACAACAGCAACCTCTGCAAAAATATTCACTATCTGTGTTATACTTCAAACCAGCCAGATATATCTTATCTACTTAGAGGTTTGTAATTATTTGGGACACTGTTCTATAATTGACATCATAAGCATCTTCTCAGGGAGATGGTAGCCCTATCAGAACCTACCTTTGGAAGAAGGCTGCTAAAATGTTGACTTATAACATGGAAGGATTTTCCACTTAGAGCAAAATGGTAACTTCCTTCTCTACTATTATCAGAGACTTCTTCCCTGATGTTAATGTAATTGTCCTGCAAAGCAAAGCAGTTGTTTTAGACTCTTCCACCTGATAGATGGTTAAAACCACAAGCACATCTGGAGAAGGGAGTGGAGACAGACCAGGGTTTCTCTTTAAAAGTCACATTCCTCATTCCCCAGAGAAGCAGTGTCTCTTTGCTGGATGAATCTTTGCACATCATAGCCACTAGTGAATAGGAGAATATCACTTACTCATGTCCTGTTCTCATCCAAATTTGATCTCAGTGAGTCCCAGAGAAGAGCACTTTTCACATGTTTCAAGTGATAAATACAAAAACACTGCAGCTTAACAAATTTCTCCCTGAAGTGACAACTTACTATTTTTTCCTACAGAATTAATAGTGTTCAGCAAGGGCAAAATGGAGAGAGAATACTGATGAGACTGGAGATAAATGAATACAACTCCCCCAACCCCACCCTGAAGACATAGTCTGCTTTTCTGATGAACACAACAATGTCTCTCCCAAGGACTAAATCCCCTCTGAACACAACAGGGTGGCTGACAAGACAAGAAAAAGGAAACAGGAAATTTGATTCACAGCGCTGCTTACCACATTCCTTCTCATACAAAACCAACAACTTTTTGAAGCATAAAAGAATGAATTATTTCCAACACCCAGGAAAGAACTATACCTGAGAGCTCAGTAGGAACAGAATGGAATATAGATTTAACTGAGTTCATTGAACTGCCTGTGTGTGAGACCTTTGAAGAAGCATGTTGACTCTAGGTCATACACATAATCACCAGTCACAGCTGCTGAGTTGCAGGCTCTGTGGGACCAGTGAGGTAACACAGCAGAGAGGCTGTTTCAGGGGTACCTGATTCCCATATGCAATGTGTTTCTTCTCCTCCACTAATTTCCAGGATATAGATGCTGATGAGGATCCAGTCGTTTCATTTGCCTCAATGAGAATGACCTTCTGACTTTCAGAAACCATCCCAGACTTCCTGGCCACTGTTATTGCAGTCTGAAGATTGTCACCTGGAAGAAAGGAAGAGTATCCTGAGATGACATTGAACATATGAAACGAAACAGTACAAAGCCTGATAAGCCACTGTAAGAAGTTTAGTCCTGGCTGGCACCACGGCTCACTAGGCTAATCCTCCACCTGCGGCACTGGCACCCCGGGTTCTAGTCCTGGTTGGGGCACCAGATTCGGTCCCGGTTGCTCCTCTTCCAGTCCAGCTCTCTGCTGTGGCCCAGGAAGGCAGTGAAGGATGGCCCAAGTGCTTGGGCCCTGCCCCCGCATGGGAGAGCAGGAGGAAGCACCTGGTTCCTGGCTTCGGATTGGTTCAGCGCGCTAGCCATAGCGGCCATTTTGGGGGTGAACCAACAGAAAAAGGAAGACCTTTCTCTCTGACTCTCTCTCACTGTCTAACTTTGCCTGTCACACAGACACACACAAAAAAAGTTTAGTCCTTATTTTGCACTAGGGGAAATCATATCTAAGGTCTTTTTCAGCCCTGACCTGTGATTCCATGACTGCTTTTCTGGTGTGGCTACATTTCATCAGGGCACTTCAGGGCACTGACAGGACTGCTCTGCAACCAAGGCCCATTCTACCTTTACCACCTGGGAAAGATCTACTGATCCATTGGGATTCAGCCATCTGATGGAGAAATGTAACTACCTCTCTGTGAAGCCCCAGAAGCTGGATAGGAAAAGATCAGGCAGAACAACAAGAATCCATGCCTGATGAAGTGACACACCTGGAAACAGGTGCAAGCTACAATCAAAATAGTAAGGAAATTCAAATGCAGCACCAAAAAAGAAAACAAAAAAGGTTTCCTAGAGAAATTCTCATCCTAATATATGACTTAAGAACTCTGATAATTCAATAGATGATTTGAAGGAGATATTGATCATTGCTAAGAAATGAAGTTTTGATATCCAAAAACTGGATTTGAAAAAACTTAAAGCACAAAGTAAACATAAAAATACAACCATCACAAGATCAGACTACAGTAACCCTTGCCATCGGAAACATAGCTGGGGGAAGAGCTGGGCATGAGTCTGGCCTGGAGCCCTGTTGAGGACAGGGTACCTGCTAACATAGTTGGGGGAAAGGGGACACATCTCTCCCCCCAACACTGTCTCTACAATGATGTCTGGCAATTTGCTGAGAGAAGATGGGCACCTTTAGGACATGTGTAACAGCTGTTCCACCTCTTGTGGCACACACAGCAACTGGTCAAGATGAGAAGCCATCTTGTCATTAACTGTGGCAGTGGCTGGGGTCCATGCACCCAGCAGTCAGCAACAAGAAAGCACCACCATGGCACAGGAAGGGGCTACAATCCACAGCTCTTGTAATCCAGGGATTTTACCAAAGAGAAAAATGTGTGTTCCCCATTGACTTCGAGTCTGGCTGGCAGGAATGATAGGGAGCTAGGCACCCACGTGGGACTGTGAGGTGACCACAGTTTCTCAACATATCACAGGCCCAAACAGCCTAGGGGGAGCACTCACAGGCAGCTTGCTCTGGGAACATCTCTGCCTCTGTGTGGATGTGACAGTCTAGTAGGGCAGGGAAGATCCTCTGTACCCCATGATTATAGGGACCTTCTGTGCTGAGACTGTGGCAACTCTGCATGAGAGGGTGTAGGGTGTAGCTGGGTCTCTGGGCAATCACTGTGAGCAGCTCCACACACTAAGAGCTCCCTGATTGCCTGAGGTAAGTCATTGCTACGGGATCCAGGCTTATACAGATGGCCTGCACAGATCCTTTGTGTGGTTGTTACAGTAGCATGCATGAGTATTGCACCCACTGTGGGCTAACACCTGGACATTGATCACCTTGGAAAAGAGGAGGTGACAGTGTGATTATGCCAACAGAGATGATCAAACTTTCCCTTCTGGTAAGAAAGCAGATCTATCGCCCCCAAGTTGGGTGTCATTCAGGATACTCACCCCACTCTGGAGCACTGAACAGAGCTCCCTAGCCACACACAACACATGCCTCTGGGTATTAACTGAAAGAGCAGACACTCCACAAAGCCACAGAGGCATAGTCCAAAGATAAAAGGCATCAGAGGAAAAAACCAACCAGTATCTCCATGAATGCCTAAAAATAAATCAGAAATTCAAGAAACAAGAATAAGGAAAACAGTAAGACCCCCACCAAAGGAGCAGATCAGTGCTTCAATATTAGAATGTGAAGATGAAGAGATTGATGAAATACCTGAAACAGAATTCAAAAGATTAATAATAGGATTACTCAGAAGCAGTGAGAATAAAATTCAGGAATTAAAGAAACCAATACATGACAGGAATAAAAATCTCACATGAAATAGAGATTTTGAAAAGAAATCAAAATGAAATATTAGAAATGAAGAATTCAACATGTCAAATAATAAGTACAGTGGAAAACCTTAACAACAGACTTGGTGAGGCAGAAGAAACAATAACGGGGCTAGAAGACATATCTTTGGAAATTTTTCAGTTAGATGAAAAAAAAGAGAGAGAGAGAGAGATTAGAAAAATTAAAAGCAGTGTTGGAGATATATGGGATACTATCAAATGACCCAACATATATAGGTCTTAGGCATTCCTGAAGGTATGGAATGAGGGAATGGAATAGAAGGTCTACTCAGTGAAATAATTACAGAAAATATCCCTCATTTGGAAAAAAGAAAGGGACATTCAAATACATGAGGCACAGAACTCCTTATAGACATTACCAGAAAAGATCTTCATCACAACACATTGTAATCAGACTCTCCACAGAAAAACATAAAGAAAAGATTTTAAAATGTGCACAAGAAAAATGCCAGGTTACTTTCAGATAATCTCCATTTAGACTCACAGCAGACTTCTCATCAGAAACCCCACAGGCTAGGAGAGAATGGCAAGATATATTATAAATCTTAAGAGAAAAAAATTGTCAGTCCAGAATACTGTACCATGCAAAACTCTCATTTATGAATGAAGGTGAAATAAAGAAATTGAAAGAATTTGTCACCACCATTCCAGCCTTGCAAAAGATGCTTAAGGATGTGCTGCACACAGAAAGACAGAAATATGGTCATCACTACAAAAGAAGGTAAAGGAAGAAAATCGCCTAGTAAAAATACAAAGGATATCCAAAGTAAACAATAGGAATATTTTTGGCAAAATGGCAGGGCAAAGTTGATACTTCTCAATAGTCACTTTGAATGTTAAAGGCCTCAACACTCCAGTTAAAAGATATTGACTGGGCCAGTGCTGCGGCTCACTAGGCTCATCCTCCGCCTTGCGGCGCCGGCACACTGGGTTCTAGTCCCGGTCGGGGTGTCGGATTCTGTCCCGGTTGCCCCTCTTCCAGGCCAGCTCTCTGCTGTGGCCCAGGAGTGCAGTGGAGGATGACCCAGGTGCTTGGGCCCTGCACCCCATGGGAGACCAGGATAAGTACCTGGCTCCTGCCATCAGATCAGTGTAGTGCGCCGGCCACAGAGCGCCGGCCGCGGCAGCCAGTGGAGGGTGAACCAACGGCAAAAGGAAGACCTTTCTCTGTCTCTCTCTCTCTCACTGTCCATTCTGCCTGTCAAAAAAAAAAAAAAAAGATATTGACTGGCTGAATGGATTAAAAAACAAAACCAAACTATTTTCTGCCTACAAGAAACACATCTCATTAACAAACATAAATGCAGACTGAAAGTGAAAGGATGGAAAATTATATTCCATGCTAACAGAAACCAAAAAAGAGCTGCTGTAGCCATCCTAATATGAGAAAAAATAGACTTTAACAGAAAAGAAAACTGTTAAAAGAGACAAAAGGCACCATGTAATGATTAAGAAATAAATTCAACAGGAAGATGTAAGTATTATAAATATATGTGGACCTAATTTCAGGCATCTATTTAAAAGAAATGTTAATGGATCTAAAGGGAGACATAGACTCAAATACAATAGTAATGGTATTTCAATAACCTGCTTTCAGCAATAGACAGATAAACCAGACAGAAAATCAGAAAGAAAACAACAGAGGTAATTGACACTATAGACCAAATGGATCTAACAGGTATCTACAGAACTTTTCATACTTAAGTCATAGAATACAATAAAGGCCAGCGCCATGGCTCACTGGGCTAATCCTCCGTCTTGCGGCGCCAGCACACCAGGTTCTAGTCCCGGTTGGGGCGCCGGATTCTGTCCCGGTTGCCCCTCTTCCAGGCCAGCTCTCTACTATGGCCAGGGAGTGCAGTGGAGGATGGCCCAAGTACTTGGGCCCTGCACCCCATGGGAGACCAGGAGAAGTACCTGGCTCCTGCCATCGGATCAGCGTGGTGCGCCGGCTGCAGCGCGCCGGCTGCAGCGCACCGGCCGCGGCGGCCATTGGATGGTGAACCAATGGCAAAGGAAGACCTTTCTGTCTGTCTCTCTCTCTCACTGTCCACTCTGCCTGTCAAAAAAAAAAAAAAAAGAAAGAAAGAATTATCTGTACCCCCATATTCATTGCAGCTCAATTCATAATAGCTAATATATGGAATCAACCCAGATGTCCATCAACTGATGACTGGATAAAGAAAATATGGCATATATACACTATGGAATATTATTCAGCAGTAAAAAATGAAATCCTATGTTTTACAACAAAATGGATGCAACTAGCAATCATTATTCTTATTGAAATACACCAGTCCCAAAAAGACAAATACCATATATTTTCCCTGATCTGTGGTAGGTAACAAGAGTATCTAAAATGTAATATATAGAAGCAAAATTGATATTTTGAAATGCAATGATTGTTTACAGCCCTTGGCTATACTGTTGAAGAACAGTGGGTTTTTTTCCTCATACTATTTGTTGAACTCTTCATTTACTTTAGGATTAATCTTATCAGTATAATGGAAACTGAAAATACATCTTTGTAAAAATTAATAGTGGGATTAGGAGAGAGAGGAGGAAGAAGGATGGAAGAGGGGGTGGGAGGAAGGGAATGGTGGGAAGAATCACTATGTTCCTAAATTTACATATATGAAATGCATGAAATTTGTATACATTAAATAAAATTTAGAAAAAAAATATATGACAATCACAAGGAAAAAGATCACAGACTGAGAGGAAGGATCCAGGAGACCTGTCATGTCAATAATAGGAATTCCAAAAGTAAAAAAGGAAAGACAAAGAACAAAGGCAGTAATTAAATGAGCAATAAAGAAAATTTTCCTGAGAGGAAGAAAGATCAAAAGTACTCTGACTGAATTAATGAAAACAAAGACAAACATGTAGACATGCATGGTCACAATCCTGAGCTCCAAAGTAAAAGATTATGTGCAGACAAGGGCAAGTTACCCACAGTGAATGTGCACTGGGTTTGTTATGTGCAATACCAAAAGTCAGAAGGCAAAAGAATAGCACCCACATGCAGATCATTAACAAGAAAGCACTGGGACTCAAGAATCCTGTCTTCAGGCAAGATATCATCCACATGTCAGGACAAAGAAAGATATCCTATGATAGTTAGAATCATATTGCTTATCAGTTTTCTACTCCATTCAAGGACAATACTTGAGGAAAAGAAAATTAGAGACAAGCCAGGAAAGAAACAGAGCAGACTTTTCAAAATGGCAGAAAGAGGTAAGGAAGAGGGAGGGTGGAGAGTGATGAACTCTTTGTGCATAGATCTAAAAGGTTACAGATTATGAAAATGTGTCACACATGTGCTAAATAAATAATAATTTTTGAAATAAAAGAGTCATGGTGTAAGAAAAATTTTAAAGAGCAGTAAAACTAACCCAGCAATACCTTAAGATTGCAGAGAGAGCTAGAAAGGAAGAAAGAAAGTAATCCAAAGGTCTCCTGGTCGGCTGGAGTCGAGGATGGATCTTTACAGAACAGGGAGTTAAAGTATTCCACAGTCCCCAGTGTGGAATGGAGTTTGGGAGAAGTAGGGATGAGGAGGATGTGCTTTGACAGGAAAACACTGTATTTTAGTGACACAAGTAGTAGAGTTTTAAAAAATATGAATATCAGAGTAGGAAAAGGGAAGCCAACACATCCTCAACAAATATTAATTCACTAGGAAAATCATTTATTCATCTCTAGTCTCTTTCACAATTAGAAAATTATAGCATCAGTTGAAAAGTGTTCATTAAAATATTTCACACATTTCTCTTGTGATCCTTTCTCATTGCTCCTTTGTTTCTATGACGGAGTTTGTGGTTAGGGGTAGAGAGGACAACATTTTTATAATCTCCAGAATTATAAGCTTTCTTACTGAGGAGACTTCAATGTAGTTTATAGAGTACATTGACTAAAGATTCTAGTTCCTCTCATGTTTGACAATAAAAAGCATCATGTTGGTATGGCTCACATCTTCTTGCCACCCAGGTCTTATCTCCAGTGTCACTTCTCAGAGACGCCTCTCTTAACTACATCCTCCACAGTAGATGGTCAGCCACACTGTCCCACAACTCTCTTTTTGTGTACTTCAAAACATTTGTTACCATTTGACTGGTGTCTGATTTTCAGAAGCTTGGTGACTCTGCCATTTTCTGTTCAGCTATTTTTCTGTCACTCTGCTATTTCTGTCCAGCACTGAGAATGAGATCTGGCCCACCACTGTTAGTCAGCAACCTTTGTCAAGTGAGTGGACCCCCACGCATCCCACATCAAATTCTCACTGTTTTCATTGTACACCATTTTCAGTACCTGTGATCATTACAGTCCTTATCCGGGCTGAGATGAGTTCTTCCAAGACAGGTTTTGTCTCTTCCTTCAATCGATTCTCCAAGATCAGTAATCCCAGGAATATGAGGTCGAATTCTACCTTCTCCCTGGACACACACGGGTGATTGGATGGGGACAGCACATTAGAGCTTTCTTGCAGGAAGTGATACAAAACAACAAAGACTCTGGCAGAGAGGTGCCTCTCACTCGCTGAAGCACCATTCCTTAGGCACTGAGTATGGCAGGAATGATCCAGAAAGAAGAGGATGTTCAGACATGTACTCTGACTGAAGCAACAGGAAGGCAGTATTTCTTAAGCAATAGCTTTGCTTCAACGTTTGTAGAGAACGAGCTAAATGACTGCAAAGGGCTTTTCCATGTGTGGGGCTATATGTCCATGACCTTCTATGTTACCCACAAAGAGAACTTCTAGTTCTGATACAAAACATGGTGCAAAAAAATGAGATACAAGAAAAAAGAAAATAAAATTCCATTTTTTCCCAAGGTCAAGGCCATAATTGATACTATTTAGATCTAGGAGGTATGAGATCATAATCTCTTCAAGGAAACCCCTCCATTGAAGCTAAGCTCCTCTCTCCCTCTGTCCCTCACCAGTAGCTTTGCTCTTTGGCACCAAGTCTGGATGTTTCTGCAAGTGAGTGAGGCCTCTGAGGTTCTAATCTAATTCTGATCATGTCAGAACTCTACAGGACCAAGTGCAGGAGAGTACATCTGGGGTTGAAGATTCAAAGATGCTTATACGAATCACTTATCTTGGAGGCAGACTCAAGATACCAGCACTGCCTAATTCTGGTTGTAGTATAGGTGGAAACAGCCCCACTAAAGCTTCCTTGCCTTGTTTGTCCTATGTTCTCTATGCCGGGTCCCACATTAGCCAAGGTCAGGGAACTGAGTTGGTAGTACTTCCAGGAAACTGCCAACACCCAAGGAGCAGAAGGAAGTAGACCATCTGTGCTTCTTACCTCAGAGCAGGTACAAGGATGGCATTTCCTGTTCTTTGAGTCTAGCGTTTAAGTCTCTGTATGATCTCATTCCAAACTATCTTTGCAGCTTCATTTATCACTGTATTATCATCCACCCTGACCTGCGGCCAAGTTGAACTACTTACCATAGACATGTCTGTAACATGCTACTATGGGACATTCTTCCTTGTTTCATGGAGAAGGTTATGCATTCTCCATGATCTGCCATTGAAACTATATTGTGTCTTGAGGCACAACTCAAATACTATCTCCCCCAAAAAAGGCTTCCTCGGATACAAATCATTGCTTTCTCAGCATGTGTACTTTTAGTGCAGTTTAAGATATTTTGTTAATGTATTATCACTCTTGGCTTTCAGATCTCTGGCTCAACTCCTCAAAAGAATGTCTGCCTGTGTTCAATGCTGTGTTCAACCACATCCACGGCACAAGGAAAGTGCTCAGCAAATATACGCCTGTTTGAAATGCTTGGGCGCTGTTGAGACCGTTTCTTGCCAGATAATCTAGGACAATGCATTTCCTCTTTGAGGGTTCTCATTGAGGAACCACATATTTAGCTTCTCAGGCCCACGGGCATTTACCAAATGCCAAATATACGCAAATAACAGGACTGAGGAAAGGGGGAGAGACCAAGTGCGAAGACGACAGTAGACTCTGACCTTAGAAATCTCACCTCCAACTAGGAGGAAAAGTTTAGACAGGACTACCCTAGTTATATGGAAGGCTGGGAGCAGAACCATGGCAGGTGTAGAAAGCAGAGTCCCACAGAGTAGGACAGGACAGTGTAATCATTTCTGGATGGAGTGTTTGGAGAAGTCTTCCTGGAGGAAGGGATATTTGTTCTGATCTTTGAAGGATAACTTAGCTGATGCTGATTGAGGTCTTCTAATCTTTCAAGTAGCTCTGGTACTCAGGCATGGATTTTTTAAAAGATATATTGTTAAAGATGATATATATGGCAGCTGGCACTGTGGCACAGTGGGCTAAGACACCCCCTGCAGTGCTTGCATCCCATATGGGCAATGGTTCATGTCCTGGTTGCTCCTCTTCCAATCCAGCTCTCTGGTATGGCCTAGAAAACCAGTGGAAGATGGCCCAAGTTCTAGGGTCTCTGCACCCACATGGGAGACCTGGAAGAAGCTCCTGGCTCCTGACCTTAGATCAGCCCAGCTCTGGCTGTTGTGGCCATTTGGGGAGTGAACCAATGGATGAAAGACCTTTCTCTCTGTCTCTCCCTCCTTTCTGTAACCCTACCTCTCAAATAAATAAGAGAAATCTTTATATTAAAAAAAAGATGATATATATGAACCAATCACAGGATGCCTGCAAGACCAAACATCTGACAGCTGTGGCCTTTGTCGGCACCAGAATCTCTAGTTCCTCTGGCATAGGGCTTTTGTGAGGTTCACTATAAAATTATCAGGAAACTGAAGTCCTAATTTCAGTCCTACCTCTGCCTTTCTGTGTGACCATGAGTAAATTGCATTCCTGTCAGGTCAGACAATGTGTTCCTGGATCTCCAAGGCCTCTACTTCTAACCTTCTGTAGTTCTTCTTTCCAAGACACAAAAAGGAGTAAGCCCCTGTGGAGTCTCAGGTTCTGCAACTTGGAGTAGCATACTATCTTTTCCGGCTTCTCACAGACATCATGCCCCTCCTGAAGCCTCTAAGAATGATAAAATGATGGACATACTACAAAGGGAGATTTATCACCCCCATGGTGACATTCCACATGGCTTTTAAAGGCTGAACTGTGTATAAACTGAGCCAATAACCTTCAAAGAGATTGTGATAACAGCACTGGACGCACTCTGTAACCACACACACACACACACACACACACAAAGAATGTTTTGTCCTAACCAAGGATGAACAAAGGATAGGAAAACCAACTTAGCTACAGGGATATGTCACACTAATAGGAGATGCAAATTGATAACCTAAGATCAAGTCCCAGTAGTGAATTTGTGTTTATTCCCTATCAGATTGTTAAAGGTTAGAAATCTGTTACCTTTGTCCAGGGCACAAGGAACTTGAGCAGCCTTACATTTAGGTATCTGCAGGGTCTTCTGGAACCAGTCCCCCACAGACACCAAGGGGTGACTGTATTATTTTTTGTGATAACAATTTTTGGATTCATTTTTACTATATAGGAAGGCATTGCAATTATGTTTTTATAAATAATATGTGCAGATAATATTACATAAGAATTTTAGTTTACTATATCAAAAGAGTAGGAAATACAGTTATAACAGAGTGTGGAACACTATATCCTTAAAAGCTGTACATATGAAATTTGTATTCATTAAATAAAAACCTTCAAAAAAGAGAGAATGTGGAGTCTGACAAGGCTGCAAACAAATATACTGGACTTTCCAAATTTAAAATCCTATATAACAAAACAGGCCTTGGCTATCTCTACAGCAGTGTAAGCAGGAGTGACTGACACTGAATATTGGAGATTGTATTGAAGGCAAAATAAACTTGACAGACTGAAAATGATGGAAAGTTTTAAAAAGAACCACAGCAAATGAAGTTGAACTCATAAACATGATACTTCCTTTTAACTGTAGAGCATTTCTATTGTAATGTGTATGTCTAAAAACTTCCTCTAGCATGGTCCCACAAAAGCACTCTTCACTTTTTTCTGAAAATGTTTACCTAGGTTATGTAAGTCCAAGCTACAGCTATGTGTTTCATTAAGCTGTATGTTTATTATCAAAAATTTTCCCAGAAAAGAATGGAGGATGAGAGGGAGAGAGGGGGAAGGAGAAAGGGAATGTCATTATGTTCTTAGCACTGTATCTACAAAGCACACTGAATGTGTTCAAGACTAAAGTTTTTAAAAAATAAGTAAATAAAAATAAACACAATAAAAAAATCCTGAAAAACATTTCCCAAGAAAATATTAGGATTTTTACTTTCCAGCCAATTCACCTACTATAATCTATTAATCATAATAATAAAGGCAAGACCAAAATTTGAAACTCTGAAACACTAGTTGTATTCATATGTACATTTTCACAAAGATGTGAAACCATACCATATTTTACATTCTATACACCTGTTTCTCAGAAATTCTCCCAGTCAGCATTCACGTCAACCTTGTAGTTTAGACAGAGGAAGGGCTCTACCCCCATTACCAATGTTCAGAGACATATTGTGGACACAGACTGAGCAAGCTACCCTTCTGTGTCCACTCACCTTGTCAAGGCAGTTGTGTGATGGTCAGTTTCCAGCTTCTTGTAGGCCAGTGCTATGACTCGGAAACCCTGTGTCGTGTAAATCTGAAGTTCACTAACAAAACTAGTTGGTACTGTTCAGAAAATAACACAGGATTAGTCGGAAATATTTATTTAGCTGGTATCGGCAGAGGGATTCTTTACAAACATCCATCTTTTGTCCACGAACACAAACCTCTCAAAAGGTGCACTAACAAGTCCATGAGAATTGTAAACATATCTACATTGTTAGGGTTGACACCCTTGGGATCTGGTGAAGCTGAAGAGGAAGAAAGGGAGTATTTGGGGGGCGAGGGGGAAGCAGGTTGGGGGACATGTAGAATTCTTCTATTCTCCAGTTTATTCAGCAAACATTTATTAAGGATCTACTATCTGCCAGGCACGGGCTATGCAGAGATCAAACTGTGAGCTATACTCTGAGGGTTTATGTCTAACTGAGTAACAGCCAGTGCGCTACCAATAAAGTTAAATAAGATCACTGCAATTGCAGTATGTTATCAAAGTACTTGGTGTGCACACTTGAGACTGGGAGGAAGAGAGTAGGTGAAGGAAATGCATTTTTTAATGGAGGGAATATCATGTTCTCAAGTGTGGCGGCATGTAACAAGAAACCTTGTGTAGTTAGTTCAGCTTAAGGAAGTACAGGACAGAAGGAGAGGAGGAGAGGAGGGCTCAGGCACATCTGGAAAGTCTGATGGGTGCAGATTACGAAAGCCTTATGTATGATCCCAAAGGAGTGTGAGATTACATGGGAAGCAACAGAAGGAACAAGGCAAAAAATGTGACAACACAGCTGTGTTGGAAAAAACCTGTCTGGTCATAGTATGGAGAGTGACTCAGAGAGATGCAAGGCAGGGCTCAATTCACCAGCTATTGAAGTGGTCAGGGACGGTAAGAGCCTGAGCTGATACAGTGATGGGGCCATGGTTGGCAAGTGACAAGATAAAGGCACTGAGGGGGAGAGATGGCTCAGATGTAACTCCTAAACTGTATGAGTGGGGGCATGGTAGCACCATTCACCAGGATGGAAATTAGAAAATCCAGAAAGTAGGAAAAGTAGGTTTGATGCTGGTAGTGAGTTTGGAATACCAATGAATCACCCAATTTGTCATGGCCATCAAGTAATTGGGTTCATATGACAAGTGCTGCAGGGACACAGAGTGGGAATGCATATTTGACTATTTGAATGCCCATTTGTTTACGAACCTGTCTCAGGACGGCAAAAGCTGGCCACCCTCTCTGGTGCTCCCTTCATGAATGCCAGCCTGTCACCTCCCATTTCCTGGACGATCACTGTCATCCTCTGCAGTGCTGATGAGAATGGGAATTGATGCAGGATTGCAATTCCTGCCACTGGGACCTGGGTGAAGAAAGGGGAGTGGAGAGAGGCAGATTGACATTGCTTCTAATTACGTTAGCAAATAAGGGGGAAACGGCTACTAGTTTTTACCTCTGGAATTCAAAGACTTCTCTGACCTTTCCACACCATGGGTCAGAAGGGAGTTCCCCTCTGCGTCTGGTTCAGTGGGTGGGATTGGCAAGTAAGGCTTACCTGGCTGGCTGTTTTGCAGGGCTTAACCACCATGGCATGTGCAGGTACTCCATTGATGTGGAAATCCTCCCCAGAAATAGCCATTTCCTATTTCATAAATGGAATATTTCATCATAGATATTTATTGTTTGTCCTCAGACACTGTGCTCAAATCCTCCCATTGAAAAAAATCCTCATACCAGCTCTGTGTATTCTCCACATCTCCTCCCTCAGCTGGATGAAGGCAAATCAGACTTATTCCAGCACAGAAACATATAATGCATTGGAAAGTCTATGTGACTTGGAGGGCAGACACTTCTGATTTATTCATGCAATTTGCCCTGCTTTCTCTGTTAGGGTGTGCTATACAAGTATAAAGGCTCATTCTCTGAAGACTCTAACTTGAAAAAGGTGAGCACAGGTAGCCAGATTTCTTTGTGTGAAGCAAAAACCTTACATCTTTCTTTCCCTGGAATTCACTATTGAAACTGCTATTCCCAGTCTGTCTAATTTGGATTGATGTCCTCAGGGTGGGAGAGTGCAGGACAGGGACTGTAGTGGACATGGTTAATGTTCAGTAATTGCTATAATAATGAACACAGAATAGAGTTAAAAGAACCATTTAACCAAATATGTCCAATTGCTTTATAAGCATCTCATTGAGTGGCTAGAAAAAAAAAATCTCATAGAAGAAATTGTACTCCCTATTTAAAGATCGGGAAACAGTGATCCAGAAAGGATGGGGGATTGGCCAAGTTACATCAGCCTGGTACAGAATCACGCTTGGGAAGAGTAGGAAGGATAATAATGATAGTCTCCCAGCAGTGTTCTTGGCACTGGGACCCAGAGCTGTGTGCAGATGCAAGGAGAAGCGTGAGTCAGTAACTAAGTAGTGGGGGATGTGTGTTCCCTAATCTCTACCTTCTATCTCCAAAGGATCAACTCCAACTACTCGGTTTTTAAAGGGTGCTTATGAATAAGGTTTTCTTTTCAAAAAAAGATTCCAGCATTTTGTGCTTTTTGGTTTCTTCTGAACACAGCTAGTCTTGTTCAATCCTGCCATTTTATGGTCAAGAGGGCCCAGGCCCCAACACAGGAGAGAACACGGGTTGAGCAGTTAGAGCAGAGCCAAAACTAGAGCCAGGGGAGCCAGATCCCCAAGCGCCAGCATTTCCCCTAAACCAGTGCAGAGTCTCAGCCAAAGCTCTGTAATGGATTTCCTTTCATTGCTTCCTGTCTTAGAAATGAAACCAATACTGAATTAACAGGACTGAAACTCCTAGGCACGGTGAGCCTGTGAGCTATCCTGAGCACGATAGACAGTGGTGCTTCCTAGTGCTCTCGTTCTAGAAAACGTGTTCTTTCCATTTATGTATTTTTAATTGATAAATAAAAATTACATATACTTATGGGATATAATGTGATGTTTAGATTTAGGTAAACCTTTAGAAAGATTCAGTCAAGCTAGTGAATCCAGACACTGTACCAAGGATTTTATTTTTTTAATGCTTTATCTCATTTTTTTTTTGACAGGCAGAGTTAGACGGTGAGAGAAAGACAGAGAGAAAGGTCTTCCTTTGCCGTTGGTTCACCCCAAGTGGCCGCCACGGCCGGCACACCGCGTTGATCTGAAGGCAGGAGCCAGGTGCCCCCTCCTGGTCTCCCATGTGGGTGCAGGGCCCAAGCACTTGGGCTATCCTCCACTGCACTCCCGGGCCACAGCAGAGAGCTGGACTGGAAGAGGAGCAACCAGGACAGAATCCGGTGCCCCAACCAGGACTAGAACCTTGGGTGCTGGCGCCGCAGGCGGAGGATTAGCCTAGTGAGCTGCTGCGCCAGCCCGTTTTATCTCATTTAAGTCCTCACAACAATCCTACAGTGTATGTTAGTTACTCTTATCAGCTGCATTGAACAGATGAAGAAACCAGACTTAAACTAGTTTTCCCTTCTCTGCTGTATGCTCCTTGTTGGACACCATGCATTTTGCAAATATTTAATAGCCATGATAAAGCTTGCATTGCTTCGGCATTGAAGAAGTCTCTGATATTCTCTGAAGAGTGGAAGCTTACCCAGGTGGTGGCTTCAAACATTTTGAGGTCCAGGGGGTCTCCCTGGATAGTGCCATCAAGGAGGATGAGAGAGTGGCAGCTGGCCATGGCCGCACACAGTGGGCCCCATGGCAAAGCCTTGCCCGAGACAAAGCTGTGGACTTCCTGGAATCTAGAGGAGAAAGGGGAAAAGCTTTAGTCCTAGCCTCTCACGTCAAAATGGAACTGCTTGAAGGTATTTTCTTTTAAAAAGTTAACCTAAATGCTGTTTTGTTACAACACACCCCACTCTCCAATCCCCACATTCCTCACCCATCACATGCAGCAGCATCCTGGGGTAAGGTCACTGAGTGCAGGAAAGGTCTGGAGCTTCTTTCCAGCTCTCTTGTCCCACTTTTCCTCACTCCTCCTCTAACTGGTCTAACTCCAGAGGCATGGCAGGACTGAGAAGTATCCCTCCCTGGTTCTATGCTCTTCCAGTTGCACCCCAGTTACCATGAAACTTCCTTTGCAGAACAGACCAGTTCATACTAGTTATTTGACTATGAGAGTTTCACTCTATCCATCCTTCTCGGAAGGGTTGAGTCTCTCTCCTAACATTTTTGATGTTTGGCCCCCAGTAGACACTCAATAAATGGATGAGTGAGTGAGTGAGTGGCTTCTGAGAAACTGCAATACCATAGTGGTAAATAAGTGAGCATCAAAAACATTTTCAGAAAGGACATCACATCCCTCTCTTCTACCCTGACAACCAGGGTGCACATTGTAACCACTATCCTCACCATTTCCCACTGAAATGCAAATGGAATGTCATATGGTGCAGCAGTTAAGATTCCACCTGGGATGCACACATCCCATTTTGGAGTGCTTAGGTTTGAGTCCTAGCTCCACTTCATATTCCAGCTTGCTGCTAATGTGTACTCTGGGAGACAGCAGGTGATGGTTCAAGTATGTGGAATCCTGCCACCTCTGTGGGAGACCCAGATTGAGTTCCAGGCTTCTGACTTTAGCCTGGCCCAGTCCTAGCTGTTGTAGGCATTTGGGGAGTGAGGAAATAGATGAGAGATACTGGAGAGTGTTTCTCTCTCTCTTTCTCTCTCTCTTCTCTCTTCTCTCTCTCCCTCTCTCTCTACCTTTCAAATAAATATGAACAAATAAAAATAGGAAAAAATGACCTGCGTGATTCCTTCACTAGTGCAGTCAGGTCCCTGGGATCAGCCTCAGGCCCACTAGAGGAGTGTCCTCTAGAGTCCTGGGGTCAGGTGCAGTGGAGTGGTGAGCGTACAAAGCACTCCATCCTGTTTGGAAGACCTCTGAATGGCAGAAGCTGCTTCTGCACCAAGGCGAAATCTGCCTCTTGGAGGTCTTCAGGATCTACATGCTCTCCTCCTCCCCACGCTAGCATCTCTCAGATGTGTGGATCAGCTCGGCCAGATCTCCTCTCATCCTCTCTCTCTCTCATTGTTCCTCCAGTACGTAGCTGCATCAGACCTCTCACCTTCCCAGTTTGCATTTGTCATTAGTTGCCTTTAATGTGGTCTCCAGGACCGGAATAAGGCTTTTAATCACATGGACAGTGCATTTCTTTAACCCCGACCTTAAGTGGTTCTAGCCTTTTGTCTTGGAAAGCATCCATATCTCAGTGTGAACTCATACTGCAGACACATTTTGTCCTGCAAAATGTGTTTTACATTCGAGCTTCCTGTTGCAACACTAAGAGTTCTAAAACCTCTTGTCCAATTATTGACCTTGTCCAATTATTGTGGGTGATTATTATACATGGAAAGAACAAGTCCTCTTAGCAGTTTGCAACACGTCCTATGATATTTGAGAGAAAATCTAAAAGAGAGAGATCACCAGCAGTGCAGTTAACACAGAGGCTTAACCTGACACTGAAAAACAAAACACAAATCAAATCGGGGGTGAGGGAGATGAATTTTATTTTTATGCTGATACTCGCATGCTGTCATCAGTCTAGAATCCTAAATAGATAATTCTGAGTCCCAAATATTGAGCCAGACTCCAGTTTAGCACAACAAATACATGGAGCTCTCTGGCATCCCTGCCCCTGGAAGTTTATTTGGGTATTTATGATGGATCAAGCCTGGAGAGGCTGTAACATTTTTGGAAGGACCTGGGACATTGGTCAGGCCATTCTGAGAAAGGTAAGAATGATCAGAGAAGAGCACATCTTAAATAAGAAGATGTTTAATGTCCAATAAGGCAGATACTGTCTTCTTACCTACAATTAAATCTATTTTCTCTCATTTTATTAATGAAATTGATCACTTCTTAGCCACTTGTGTCAACTTTGACCTTTTTGAAGGAAGGAGGAATGGGAGGGGAAGAGGGAAGCAGAAAGGGAGGCAGACCTAATTGAACAATGTAACCCAAACAGCATATCAATTGTTTTTATAGAAATGTAACAGGCCACTCTTAGAAATAGAAAGTTTACGAAATTCAGTGGATGTTATGATGACAGTTCCCTAAATAAAGCATTCAAAAGACAGGACATGTTCAGTTCATTTGTAATGAACAAACCTTGACCATTCACCTTTTATGTGTGCCTGGTACAGTGCTATGGCATTGAGGACACACAGGTAAACAAACGATTGTGCATAACAGTTTACACGAGGGGACTGGGTGCTTTCCAAATCCATGCTCTAGGAAAACCGAAAGGAACTTGGAAAGCATTATTCCCATAAAAGCCTTCTTCTATAAACATCAAGATTATTTCTCAACCCAGGAAACTGACTTGTCTATCAATAGTATTTTAATATGACAATGTCTTAACCGTGTGTAATTTAAAAATATTTTGTGGACAAGTTTTATGTCACCTGTGTAATGCAAAAGAATGACAATGAACCTGTTCTGTATAAAATCCTCTGTGACTCAGGTTGTAAGGGTGAGAGGGAAATATTTTCATTTCCTAAGAAGCATAAATGCCAAAGGTATCACCTGTTGTATTCCTAGCATTCTGGAGGTGGCATGGGCGAGAAGGCAGGCAGAGCAGTAAACTCACACATGGCCACAAGGGGGCCGCAGAAGACAGGAGGGCAAACTTTTGCCTCAAACTCAAACTGCCAAAACAGTCTTTTCTGGCTAGAAAAAAAGGGAGTTTCTGGCAGTGAAAAGTGGAGTTCCCAGAACCAGAATACCAAGGAAAAATGAGTACAGTAGCTCTGGCTCCACCGATGTTCCTCTTCCTGAAATTCAGGTTACAAAGTCACTGCATGGCTTCTGTTTGTGCAAGGTGCCAGCTCCCTGGAGGGCAGTGTGCTGGCACTGTCCTAGTTACTTAGACTGCGCCAACTTCAGGCCTCTGAAAAATAAGCTGAGAGCAAAGTACACTCCAGCGAGGATTTGCATGCTCTACCAAAACCTCCCCTTCATCCTCTGAGCTTGTGAGTGGCCTGGGACCGCAGACCTGTGGGAGGAAATGTGCATGTTTTAGTGAGACTTGGAAGAATCTAAGAGGAAAAATTAGATGAAGGTATTCTGGCAGTCATTGTTCAGCAGAGCTGAAGCCCAACTGCATCCATTCAGTGTTTTCAGCTGGAAAAAGAGAAACTATAAAGCATTTAGTCCAAGCTACTCACCCATTCCTATCACAGGGCACGACTCCCCAGAGATCCAAGCCATCCCTGGTTAAGGTGCCTGTCTGAACAGAAACAAACACTGGTTTGACTCTGAAGCTGCAGCTGCCCTACAGCGAAGGCCCCATCATGAAGACAAACAAGCTGGGCTGCATAGGAAGATGTACATCACAACACATCATCAAGATCAGCTCCTCAAGGAGGGGAACGGCAAAGTGGGGTCTAGAGTCTTGAGTGGAAGATTGAGGGATTCATCCATTGACTGGCAAGCTGGCCCTTAAGTTCTTTGAACTTGTCCTCCATGGTGAATAAAGAAAACACTAACTCCCTTAGACATTTCAAAGGATTGTGTTGAGGTTCCAATGGTAGACTGAATGGATGGGAAAGTCCCTGGTCAGCTTGTGACAGGTGTAAAGTGGGTGAGTCCCAGTTTCCATAGTCGAAGTTAAAAGTAGGTCATCATAACAGAGTAGAATTTTTTACCTAAATGGCAATGTGTGTGAAAAGACTCATAAGAAGTGGTTTGCTATTTTAAAAATGTATGTATTTGTTTATTTGAGAGAGAGAGTGAGAGAGAGAAAGAGAGAGAGAGAAAGAGAGAGAGAGAATTCGCACTCACTAGTTCACTCCCCCAAATGCCTGCAACAGCTGTGAAGGAGCAGGACTGACGCCAGAAGGCAGATTTCAACCCAAGTCTCCCACTTACGTGGCAAGAACTCAGTTACCTGAGCCATTACCTCCTGTCTCCCAGGGTCTGTTCATAGTAGGCAGGTATCTCAATGGCTGGGACAAACATCCACACCCTGGTTCACTATATGATACTTGTTTGGTTAAAGGTGTTTATTGGTATTTATCTCAGTGGAGTATAATGATTAAGAAAGAGTTCAGACTAGGTTCAAACACCAGATGCATGTCCCAGGGCAAATTACTTAATTCCACAGAACATCAGTACCCTGATCTGTAATGTGATCATAATCTCATAGAGTTGTTATGAAGATTAAATGAGATAATATAGATAACACAGTTACTGTCTGACATACAGTAAAAGCTAGTAATAATGGCAACTCATAATTATTGGTCATTTTTAATTCAAATGCATGTCACAATTATCTCTCCCACCTGTCTCTTTTTCCAATTCCAAGGATATCATCATATAGATAGAATGTCTTTCCCTATGATCATAAAATATGGAATCAATGCCAAGAGCCGTGTTAACCTTCTGTTCCTTGCAGACATTTTTAACTTTGTATTTTAGAATAGTTTTAAATTGAGAGGTGTTATTATATTCCTAGAATCATATCTATGAACTACATTGACTCTGTTCTATTTTATTAACATCACATTAACGTGAGATTTGTGTTGTAGTAATTACCATGTATGTGTTGTGAGATACCCTGAGAATCCAATGTTTTAATAATTTCCTAGAGAATAAATTTTTTAAAATAATAGTTTCAAATTTACAGAACAAAAATGGTGAAGTAGTACACTGGGTACTCCAAGGATTATAGAACTCCGACCCCATTGGTTCTCTGCTATCAAACCTTCAAGATGTTCTTTAGTTAGCACGGAATTTCAGTTTGGGAAAATGAAGGCATTTCCTCAAGATGGATGATGGTGATGACTGCAGAACAGTGATAATGTACTTAATGCCAATGGATTGGCCACTTGGAATGGTTAAGGTGGTAAATTTTATGTGTATTTACCACAATATAAAATAAAGGAAGAAGATGCCAACAATAGCCTTCAATGTCTCCCCACCGCTTGGAGTGTGTAGAAATTCATACACAGGGATCCAAGGTCCACAGACACTTTTTTCCATTGCTAATGCCCTTCTCCTGTCAAAACCACACTCTGTGCCTTTGCCTGTGGTCACCTGCCTGCAATACCTTCCACTTCCATTGCCCCTCCCCCGCCTTCATCCCAGCACCTACATCTGCAGACTATAACAATACATTCAAGAGAGGTAGAATGACGGGCCCACAATGACAAATAAGCAATGAACTACAGATGGGAAAATTGAGCAAGGGTTTCATATGGGCATTATTGTAATCAAATTTCATAACAAGGCACAGTTTAACAAGTTCTCTCTTTTTACTCACTCATTAATTCAATAAATAATTATTGAGCACTATCTGTATGGCAATCACTATTTTTAGCATCAAGGATACAACAGTGGCCACCAGAGTTTGAACTTTGGTTTTTGTATGAGGGCTTTGACTGTGAAGCAACAGGTTGCTATTTTAATTAATCATCTTTCATATAATATCAAAACTTGGAAGTCCCTTAAAGAGTCACTTATTCCATACCTATTACCTCATCCCTAAACCACAGAATCTGAAAGCACAAGAGAATATCTATCCCAGATCACACACCAAGCAGAGATAAAACAAAGTCAGGTAAACCTGCCTTCTATATTTCCTGCCTCCCACGAGGATCAAAGCACCTATCCAGGCTGACAATGACAACAGAAGCGGCGATGGGCATGAAGATGAAACACACGTACCTTGTCAAAGCAGACAAGGTTCAATTGTCCACACACATTGATCCTCTGGGGGCTAATGCAGAAGATGCCTCTCTTCTTCAGCCTCCTCTGGGCATAGATGATGCCCGTGGTCAGAGCGGCAGGTAGAGCTGGTGGAACCGCGATGGTGATGACATCAAGGGCTTTCTTCACCACCTCTTCAGGAGGTTCCTGGAAGACAGTGGAAATCAACAGGCAGGCAAGCCAGCAACGAACAGCTTTGTGTGTATGACCTTTTTCCTTCTTTTCGTTTACTTCTTTAGGTTGAATTCTGAGAAATGGTATCAGCAAGTCAAAGAGTATGACCATGTTAATAGCTCTCAATATCTTTCTCCACAGTCCATGAAAAGGCTTGTGATGACCACACTACTGCTAGCAGAGGACAATGTACCTGCTTGCCACGACCTCACCAACACTGAGTATCTGATTTTATTTACAACTCTTCATTTAATAGCTACAAAATAATGCTTAATGGAAATATTTTCTCAGATTAAAAATATTAAAAAAAAATGGTGTTTCAAAAAAACAGAAGCTCTGTTTCTGATCCAGCTCCCTGCTAATGCACCTGGGAGAGCAGCAGAAGATGGTCCAAGTACACGAGCCCCTGCACTCATATGGGAGATTCAGATGGAGTTTGTGCCTGGCTTCCACCTGGCCTAGCCCCAGCTGTTGGAGACATTTGGGGAGTGAACCAGCAGATGAAAGATCTCTCCTCTCCTCTCCTCTCCTCTCCTCTCCTCTCCTCTCCTCTCCTCTCCTCTCCTCTCCTCTCCTCTCCTCTCCTCTCCCCTCCCCTCCCCTCCCCTCCCCTCCCCTCCTCTTTCTCTGTCTCTCTCTGTCTCTCCCTCTCCCACTGTGGCTCTAACTTCAAAAAAATAAATCTTTAAAACAAAAAGAGAAAAAGGTAGCTTACCCCACTGAGCACATAGACACACAGAGTATAGATCATGCCAATGGTGGCCGTCCCTACAAGGCACAGGAGGAACCTGATGGCATCTCTGTAGAGCTTGAAGTTCATTGGCTTGGGATACAAAATCGATCTCACGAGGTCCCCCTTTGCAGTGTTGAATCCTGAAGAGCAAACACAGGCAACCCTCTCTCAGGATAACAAAGCCTACTGCTGGCTCTCTTTTAAACCTCAGCCCTGCCTTTGCTTTGCTCTCCAGGTGTTTAAGCAGTGTTTACACTCAAAGGCAATTGAAGGATAATTAGGAAAACCCATGGTTGCTAGAATGGAACTATCTTACCTCTCTCAGAGTTTACTAGTCTCCCTGGCCTTCCTGGCATCTACTTCCCATTTCAGTGCATTACAGAAACAGGGAAGCACCATACTGGTGACAGAGTGTACCTCTTCCAAATACAGTATTATCTTAAGGAACTGACTCCTGAGTGTGCACACACACCTCACTTCAATTAAAATTAAATGACCCTTGGGGCCAGCGCTGTGGCGTAGTGGGTTAACGCCCTGGCCTGAAGCACAGGCATCCCATATGGGCACCGGTTCTAGTCCCAACTGCTCCTCTTCTGATCCAGCTCTCTGCTGTGGCCTGGGAAAGCAGTTGAAGATGGCCCAAGTCCTTGGGTCGCTGCACCCACGTGGGCGGAAGAAGCTCCTGGCTCCTGGCTTCGGATCAGCGGATGGAAGACCTCTCTCTGTTTCTACCTCTCTCTCTAATTCTTTCAAATAAATAAAATAAATCTAAAAAAAAAAAAAAAAAAAAAAAATGACCCAGTGAATACTGATGCCTTTTCTTCTCTAACCCTCTTCTGTGTTCTCAGTTTCTGATTATTCTTACATAGAAAGAACTTGGGATTTGGGATTAGAAGACCTGAGTTCCAGTTCAGCTATGTCCCTGGCTGTGCCATTTTTTTAAGAGTTCACTTGAAATTCATGGCCTTTGATGTGCAAGGCAAAGAGAGAAGGTATATTTGCTCTGCCAGTTTGCTGTGTGGAAATCAATGATAAATGGGCAAAGCACACAAATAGTCATTCTTGTCCTCGGTATTATCATTTTTACTCAACAGCATATGCCATAGCTCATATGCCAGTTAAAAGACATTCATTTACATATATTTGGGTTGTTATCTAAAGACTGCTCCTTGCCTAATAAATTTAAGGCACTAGCCAAATTTGCCACAATTATGTAAAGAACTCTAACAACAGCCAGGAGGAGGCACTAACCAGTTTGCAGCACTACGGCTCTCACGGTCCCGGAGCAAGTGGCCTTGGCCTGGATGACCTCTGTCCCACAGAAGAGGACATGCCGCTTGTAGTCTGCGTCACTCTGTGTTTTCCAGGGTGCAGCGCTATCCATCTTGGGTAACGGAGTTTTAGTGACTGGAATACTTTCTCCTATGGAAAATGAGAATCTCATTTCCGGAGGTCAGGCACCTCACTCATTTAAATCCAGCCTGCACTTACTCACCATACAACTGACGTTTGGCACAAGCTTGCCAGGTGGCAGAGACGACCCTGGGTAGTGGAGATACCAGGACAAGCAGAGCTCGTGTTTCTAAGAGGCCCGTAGTTTCAAGTGGGAGACAGAAGTGTGATCTGTATTGTCAGGGCTGAGGGTTGTGTACCAAAAGGGCTAATTTGCTAAAAATAAGCTGCAAATGACCACATAGAGAATAAGAAGCTGTGCAATCTCAGGCGTGGGGTGTGTGCAATCAGAGGTCCCGGGAGCTCCACTGGAGAGCCCTAGGAGTACCAATCAGAAGTGTTTCAACATTTTCCAGCAGGCCCTGGTGCTGACGGGAAAGGGGGCATTGTTCACTGCTTTGCTCCCGAGAGAAATAGCCTGTGTATGTAGAAGAGACTCACTCTGAGCACAGCGCACATGCAGATGAGCTGTGGTCACAAGAGTCCCATTGGAGGGCCTAATGTCTGAACCGTGGCAGCCAGCAGTGGGCACACATGGGATACACTGGGGTCATCAAACAAGGAAATAAGAAGCCACAAAATCCAAGGGTATTTTTATATTGACAGATCACACGGACAGAGGAATTTAAAAGGGTTTCCTTGTTCTTGACTTAAGAGGTGGAGCAGAGGGTGGCATTATTATTCGTCAACAGAGGGATTACAGGAGAGGAGGAAGAACCTGCCTTTGGCTACTGTGACTTGGAGCTGACTTGGAGAATGATGACACTGAAGTGCCCTGTAGGCAGTGATGTACTTACTTGGGCCTGGAGCTCAGGTGAAGGACTTGACTGGAGAGACTTACTCAGAGCTCATTGACTTATAAATGATTGTTAAAGCCACAGACAGAGACAGATGACTTAGAGGACCGGCGTAGGGTGAGAAGAGGAAAGGACGAGCACACAGCCCTGAGCAGTACAGCAACTAAGGAGGTGGAGAAAGACCAACTGCAGAAGAAACTGAACTTGGAGAGTTTTGTCTTAGAAAGTCAGCAGAAGAGAATTTTCAGAAGGCATAGTCAGAATAGTCCAATGCGGCAGAAAGGTCAATAAGAGGAGAAATGTAAGGAATCCTTTGGATTTGGCGGTAGGTACCTGACAATTTTTGCTGTGGGTTGAAGGGTGAACACAAGTAAGTGATGAAATAGTGAAAGAGACTATGGCCTGTTCTGAGGATCACACATGGAAAGCCTTCTGCTGGTTTGCAGAGTGGAGCAGGAAAAAGTCAGTTCTATTCCAGGATCTCAGGGCTACTTCCATCAGGAAAGTGGTAACTGAAGTGCTAACGTCCCAGCATTCAGGAATGTGTATGAGCCTATGGATTCTTGAGAGGAAGGGCCCTGATCTACCACGAGCTGAGAGGCATTTTTTCATATGCTCACATAGGTTGGAGATGTATGTTCTTGTCTCCATCTCATGCCTTCCTGGTCTGCCTAGCAGACATGGATTTGTTTGGATTTTGATAGGAACTACAGTACGACCCTGTGCATTTAGGACTGATCACGTCGTCTTCATTTGACAGAAATGCTGACACATCACCTGCCCAACGTGCTATATACATGCAAAATCAATGCAGCGCGAGCTCTAGCAATCATTCCTCTCTGGGCCACACCTGTGAAGTGAGGTGGCCTCTCAGGACCCTCCCAGCTGCAGCATACCACTTAATACTTGTTGTTTATTTGTTTATATTTTGCATTTAACTGACACACAAAAATTGTGCATTTCTGGGGTACCATGTGATGGTTCTCTACATGTACACACTGTATAATTTCCAGTCAGGGAAAAGATTTTGGAATGTTTACCTCAGACAGACAAGTTGAATGTTTGAGGAGAAAGACATGTTTAGCGAGCACCCTCTTAAAATGCATTATTCCAAAATACCCAGATCTACCAGCGGCATCACCAGGATCTTTTAACATTTTTAAGCTCAGCTAGAAAGAGCTGGGACTTGATCCAGTAGATTTCAGGATGTCATCGATGGTTTTCAAACCCTCCGAATTCATCCAAAGACTTATTTTACATTAAAAAATTAAGCACAAAAGTGACAGACCATTCATCACCTCTAACGTCTTTTCAGATATAATGAGAGGGTTGTAATCATTCATTCAAGCAGGGAATGCTAACTACCCAAAAAGTTAGGATTGCATGATACTGAACACATAGCAGCTTTTGCTTGGATTCTCACATCCATCCACAGTAAGACTAAGATTGGAAATAGGAGGGTCCCACAGCAGCCCCCACGTTGTCATTCAGGGGCCAGAGGAGCTGGGGCCACAGCAGTGCAGTGTGAGAGACAGCCCTGGTGGCCCTAGACTGTGCAGATGGAAATGCACCTGTCAGCATGCCTTCATCTACCACACAACTGCCATCAATCAGAAGGGCATCACATGGCATTTGTACTTTGTTCCCTGTCAAAATTAATAAATCTCCAGGCACCAGGAAGCGGGATTCCAACTCTTGGACTCCATCTGAAAATACAAGGAAACAGAGTTGAGTGAGGTTATTTTCCCACAGAGACATCGTTCATCATTTATCTGAGTTGGAAATCAACGAAAAAGTAACCAAGACACTTCAAAAATTTTTTTAAAAGAAAGATAGTTCTCGGGCTTGGAGCCGTGACACAGCAGGTTAAAAGCATAGCCTGCAGCACCAGCATCCCATCTAGGCTCTAATTTGAGTCCCAACTGTTCCACTTCTAATCTTGCTCCCTGCTAATGCACCTAGGAAAGCAGTGGAAGATGGCCCATGTCCCCGGGTCCCAGCACCCATGTGGAAGACCTGGAAGAGCAATTATATAGATGTAATTGTAGGGGCTGGCACTGTGGCACAGCGGGTTAACACCCTGACCTGAAGCACCAGCATCCCATTTGAGCACCAGTTCTAGTCCCGGCTGCTCCTCTTCCAATCCAGCTCTCTGCTATGGCCTGGGAAAAGCAGTAGAAGATGGCAGAAGTCCTTGGGCCCCTGTACCCATGTGGGAGATCCGGAAGAAGCTCCTGGCTCCTGGCTTTGGATCGGCACAGCTCTGGCTGTTGGGGGCAACTGGGGAGTGAACCATCGAGCAGAAGACCTCTCTCCTCTCTCTCTCTCTCTGCCTCTCCTCTCTCTGTATAACTCTGACTTTCAAATAAATAAATAAATCTTAAAAAAATAAAAAATAAATGTAATTGTATATAAGACTATATGTGAGTATATATACATACATACACACACATATGTATATATTTGCTAGTCTACTTGCTTGTACATATAGTCTTTAATTCTGTCATCTGAAAGATCCTAAAATCAAACCCTAATAATAATAAGTATATCCATTGTCCAAATTTTGGTTTCTAAATTCCATCACCCCCAAAGAGAACCAAATTTCCTTGAAGAAATGTCCTATTATAAGGCTGGGCCCAGAAAAGTGTAACATAAGCAGAGCAGCTTGTTGTGTCAACAAGTTGGGAAATGTGGGGGACATGGCAAAAATATATCAAAAGCAACTTAAAGGCCTCTGAGCCTGAGTCTGTAGCAGGTAAATAATGCTCATAAAGAGCTATAGCCATTGAGTAAAATACAGAATTCATGAATACATAGCGCCATAAGTAAATGAGGAGAAAATGTAGCTTTCCCTTCAGCAAAATGGCAATTAATTAATGTAGAAAGATAAAATTAGAAGATTATTATTTGGCAAGTATCAAAGTAATAATTTAACCAGGAAACATCAGTGAGTATAAAAATAGTGAGTGCAAATTTCAGGGTCTATTTATATAGTCTCAACATATCTCTCATCAAAATAACTGTTTATTACAAAGAGGAAGAGAGTAAATTTACAATGGCAGACATTATTTAATTAAATAATACAAGTTATCATCAACACTAATAAGATAAATTTAAAGTATGTACCACCTGAGAGGAAGTACAGAGACCACAATATTACACCTGTGATATGACAGGCAGCAATGTATATTGAATTTAACCGAGAAAATATCAGATAAAATCAAAGTAAGGGACATTTAGAAAGCATCAGACAAATCAAATTTGGGCAACAGTCTACAAAATAATGAGAGTCGAAAGAGTCAATGGCATGGAAGTCAAAACTGAAACGGATTGAAGAGATATGCAGACAAAGTATGTGATGTTGGATCCCCATCCAAAAAGAATGTTATTGAGAAATTAGCAAAGCATGAATAAGGTCTAGCCATTATTTCCTAATAATTTGTCAATATTAACTTCTTGAATGCACTGTTGTTTTGGAGATTGTCTGTCTTTAATAAATGCACACTTGGAGCAAGTGTTTTGCACAGCAATTAAGTCACCACTTGGGACACTTGCTTCCCATATTGGAGCCCCTGGATTCATATTGGAACCCCAGCTCCACTTCTGATCCAGCTTCCTACCAATGCACATCCAGGGAGTCTTCAAAGATAGGATAATTTCAGCAAAAACAGAAATAAAATATCCAATGGATGGAAATAAACCACCATGTCTGACATTATAACCACTGCCCCAATCATTTCCTAGAGAAAGTAGCCTGATCTAAACCTGTTGAAAACAATTCAAATGCCACATGGTGCAGCAGCTAAGACACTGGTTGGGTCTCTCACATCCTGTATCAGAGTGTCTGAGTTCAAAACCCAACTTCACCACCAATTCCAAATTCTTGCCAATGTGCACCCTGGGAGGCAGCAAGCCATGTCCCAACTACTTGGGTCCCTATTACTCATGTGGAAGACCTGCAATGAGTTCAAGACTTCTGACTTCAGCCTGACTCAGCCCCAGCTGTTGAAGTTTTTTGGGGGAGTCAACCAGTGAATGGAAGATCCTCTCTCTCTCTCTCTCTCTCTCTCTCTCTCTTTCAAATAAATAATTTTTTTTGACAGGCAGAGTGGACAGTGAGAGAGAGAGAGAGAGAGAGAGAGAGAGAAAGGTCTTCCTTTACCGTTGGTTCACCCTCCAATGGCCGCTGTGGCTGGTGCGCTGCGGCTGGCGCACCGCGCTGATCCGAAGCCAGGAGCCAGGTGCTTCTCCTAGTCTCTCATGCGGGTGCAGGACCCAACCACTTGGGCCATCCTCCATTGCACTCCCAGGCCACAGCAGAGAGCTGGACTGGAAGAGGGGCAACCGGGACAGAATCCGGAGCCCCGACCAGGACTAGAACCCAGTGTGCTGGCGCCGCAGGTGGAGAATTAGCCTATTGAGCCATGGCGCCAGCCTCAAATAAATAATTTTATAAAAAGAAATACACACTAGACTGTGTGGAGATCATGAAGTCACACATTGGCAGTTTTTTTTCTTTCAAATAGTTCCGGGAAAAACTATTCTTGTAACTATATTCTTTAAATTATTTTTGAGGAAAAAAAGAGAGATACGTAAGATAACATCGCTCACCTATCTGATAAGATAAATCTAAAAAGTTTGCCAGCACGTTCTGGTAGCAAGGCTGTGAGAAAAGAGGCACTCACACATTGATAGTGCAAATGCAAATTAACACCATATCTATGGAAAGAAATTTGGCAATATTTATCTAGCAAAATTACATATGCATTTATTCTTTAACCTAGCAAATTTACTTCTCAAAATCCCTACCAAAGATGTCTTGGCAAAAATGTGAAAAGACATGCAGAAGGCTTTCTATTACAAGCGCTGTGTTTCATAGTAAAAGACTGAGGGGGAAAAAGTCTTCAAAAAAGAGCTGATTGAATAAACAATGGTTCCTCTCACCAGAGAGTACTGTGCAGCCTAGATAATGAGTGAAGGAATCTAGACACGCTACTCTTAAAGTATCCTTGGCAGACATCACTAAGTATGTAAAGTGTACATAATAGGAAATATTTTTTTAAAAAATGTGGTATAACCTTATTTATTTCAATAAACAGAAGCAAAAATACAAGAGGACTTCAACATTTCATGGAAAAGAAAATTAAAAATAAATTTATTTTGATGCAAAAATTATGGAAATCCATGCATAGTTTTTTCGTAATATGCATTTCCAAAAACATTTTGAAGATCCCTCATATATATACATATATATATATCCTATGCTGTGTATGTAAAATATGGCTATGAAGTTATATATAATTCTTTATATTTTTCATGTAAGAATAAATCACATGAACAAAAATGACTAGTATGAGGAGAATGAGGACACCAAGAAGAGGAAAGAGGGAAAGCACTAGATGCGCCAAACATCTTCTGTTTTATTGATTTCAAACCATGTCGTTCTTTTTTCTAATATCTAAATAAAATTATACTAAAATAAAATAAAGTTTAGAGCAAAATGAGGGAAATGAACCTATCAAGTTTTTAATAGAACCATGTAGACAACTATTTTGAGGGACTTTAGGGCATAATAGTTTAAAATTTACTGTATCTGAGTGAAATTGTCATTTTTCATTTGATTATTATTTATAAGCCTTGTCTAGATTCCTGCTGAAATAGGGTGTTTTTAATTTCTGCTTGTTGAACTCTTTATTTAGTGTAGCTTCAAGCATTTGAGTATAATGTATATTGAAAATATTTTAGCTCAAAAATTAAAAAAGAAAGTCAGGGAAATAGAGAGAGAGCACGGGAGGAAGGAAGGGAGGGAGGATGGGAAATATTATTACACTCAGAATTGTATCTATGAACTACATTGAATCTGTTCTCTTTGTATTAATAAAACATTAACATGAGAATTGAAAAATGTAAGTGTAATAAATTTACAGATAACAATATTTAAAAATTGACTGCACATTTCTATTGGGATATCACAAAAGAGAACAAGCAAGACCTCTGAAACATAATGATGCTCACTCACTATCCTGAGGTTATTGTGCCTAATCAGGAAAAGCAAGGATAATTTTTTCATGTCTGTGAATCACAACTTTTGGGATTGATAAAGGAGAGATACAAGTACAAGCAACAAAGTCAGGTAAAATCTCCAAAGTTCTAAACTTGAACTGGCAATATCAGTATGAACATAATTTATTTTATCCTTAAAAATTACATCTGAAGTATGTCATTTGATGAGGCCTAGGAACTGTGACTAACACCATTGCAAGGAGCATTCCTAACACGCTGAAGTCTGTAGTATCCTAACCAAGGACTCTTTAGAAATGGATGTATCCAGGTGTGGGGCAAAAGTTTTCCAAATAAGTTTATGGGCTCATGTTAAACTCAGGGCCCTATCTTAAAGCGGCTCTTCATGGTCAAAGATGGGATAATTTGAGTAAAATCAGGAATAAAAATGGAAATGGATGGAAAAACATTAACCATATCTAACATTGCAACACTTTTAAAAAGTTGCTATGTTACATGATCCACCAATTATTTTGAAAGCTGTTAAATAAAGAGAAATATTCAAATATTTGTTCTACTGCTTGAACTGAATCTCAGGGTAATGCAATAATTGAAGAAGGGTGTTTCTCTTTATAGAAATACTCCATCTAGTATATGAAAATGGTGTGAGAGAAGTAAAAGTGTGCAGCTGCTAGTCAAGTAATAGATACAAATCATGAGCATGTATTTCTGTCAATGTCACAAAAAGACAGATATGATGTGCCTCCAGTGTACAATGTCCACCTTGAAGTATTCTCATTTTTTAAAAGATTTATTTATTTATTTGAAAGTCAGAGTTACACAGAGAGAGGAGAGGCAGAGAGAGAGAGAGAGAAGAGAGAGAGAGGTCTTCCATCTGTTGGTTCACTCCCCAATTGGTGACAATGACTGGAGCTGTGCCGATCCAAAGCCAGGAGCCAGGAGCTTCTTCTCAGTCTCCCACACAGGTGCAGGGGCCCAAGGACTTGGGCCATCTTATACTGCTTTCCCAGGTTATAGCAGAGAACTGGATCGGAAGTGGAGCAGCCAGGACTTGAACAGGTACCTATATGGGATACTGGCGCTTCAGGCCAGGGCGTTAACCCATTGTGCCACAGCGCTGGCCGCCTTCTTGAAGTATTCTTACCAACACCTCAAGCCTCCAGAGCTAGTTACCAACATTAAAAAAAATTCATTTAAACTATGTAAATCCCAAGACAAACAACTTATTTTCTTTAACAAAAAACTTGCAAGGAAAAGAAATGGAGGAGTGAACCTATAGATGGAAATAAATCAACTATAAGTTATGAACTTCATTTGGATCCTAAACTATATATAATGTATTTTATATAATAATGCATAAAATGTTAACATTTTTCAAAATATCTTTATACAGAATATATAATAACTACATATAATAAATTATGATTCATAAGTATACACACATGCACACACTTATAATAAAATTTAGGAAATTTGAGCACTGCCTATGTGATTGGTATATTTTAAAGTTATGGAGTTTTTTCAAATGTGATAAAGGAATTAAAATAAGTCCTTATATTTTGAAATGCTTTCAAATGAAATGATATGATATTTGAGATGGTTCCAAAATAATCCAAGATAAGAGAGCTTGTGGAACAGATGAAAAAAAAATCAATGACTTGATAATTATTAAATCTAGGTAATAGATACAGGGTTGCATTATAGTATTCTCTCTACTGTTACATATGCTCAAAGTTTTTCATCATTAAAGGTGAGAACAAGCAAATGACCAGGATACTTTTGAAAGATGGAAATTCACTTCCAACCAAGGTAGAATAAAAAGAACCACACTTATCTTTCATCTGAAACAACTAGAAACCACACATATTATATGTGGCATTGGTTTTTAGACACTGAACGTCAAGCAATGAAAGAGATGGGAAATGAATGCAGGCACTGGACATTTGCCCAGATGATTGTCTTTAAAGAGTTATCAAACCACCACGTAGGGAGAGGGAATCCAGACAAAGTCCTGACGAGTCCCTGAATTCACAGCAGGGTTGAAGGTCTATGGGGTCCACAGTGGCATGAGCTCACAGGAGCACAGCATTGTGGTGTTAACTGTCCAGGAAAGCTGCAAAGCCCTGCAGAGGCTCCGCCCCCAATGCAGCCATCCAGAGATCTGCACAACTGTGAGAAAACTACGAGCAAATGAATGATGAACGTCTATGTCTTTTTTTTTTTTTTTTTTTTTTGACAGGCAGAGTTAGACAGTGAGAGAAGAGATAGAGAGAAAGGTCTTCCTTCTGTTGGTTCACCCCCCCCAAATGGCCGCTATGGCCAGCACTGTGCTGATCTGAAGCCAGGAAGGAGCCAGGAGCTTCCTTCAGGTCTCCCATGTGGGTTCAGGGACCCAAGCACCTGGGCCATCCTCCACTGCCTTCCTGGGCCACAGCAGAGAGCTGGACTGGAAGAGGAGCAACCGGGACAGAACCAGGGCCCCAACTGGGACTAGAACCTGGAGTACTGGTGCTGCAGCTGAAGGATTAGCTTAGTGAGCCGCGGTGCCGGCTACTGCGTGGGAGACCTGGAAGAAGTTCCTGGCTCCTGGCTTCAGATTGGTGCAGCTTTAGCCATTGCGGCCAATTGAGGAATGAACCAGCGGATGGAAGACCTCTCTCTCTCACTCTCTCTCTCTCTCTCTTTTTCTCTCTCTCTCTCTGCCTCCTCCTTCTCTCTCTGTATAACTTTGACTTTCAAAAAATAAATAAATAAATCTTTAAATAAATAAATAAAATAGAGACATGGCAGGATGCACACTCAGAATTCAAATTCAGCCTTAACCACTGAGTTGACAGCCTCTCATAATAAAGAGAGAGAGAGAGATGTTCAAGGCCATCAGTCCCTAGGGAAATGAAAATTAAAATGACAGCAAGATACTACCATATATGAAGATGGCTAAAATTAAAAAGACCAATCATATCAAGTGTTGAGAATGTGGAGCAACTAGAGCTCTCATACACTGTTGGTAGGAACGTAAAATGGTACAACCGCTTTGAAAAAAGTCTGGCCATCTACCACATGACCCAACCATCCTACAGCTAGGCATTTTCCTGTAGGAAATAAAATTAGTTATCCATACAAAGATCTGTATCCACGTGTGCATAGAAGCTTTATTTACAACAGCCCAACACTGGAAAGAATCCAAATATTCATCAATAGGTAAGTGGATGAATTAACTAGTGTATCCAGGCAACTCGATAGTCTCAGGCATTAAAAGGAACGAACTATCAACACTAAACAAAATGGATGACGCACAAGATAATTATGAACTTTGACCCTCAAAACTGAAACCAAAATATATAATGAAAGACAAAATATGTGTACTGAACAATACCATTCACACAAAATTCCAAACATGGAAGCCAATCTAAAGTGACAGGAAGAAAATAAATGATAACCTGACTATGGTAGAGGAGGGAGAGGGGAAGGGAAGCACTACAAACAGGCACAAGCCAACCCTGGTGTGACCCACGGCATGCTCTAGAATGTGGGAGTGCTTTCCTGGGTACTGACCTAGTCAGAACTTAGCAAATTGCACACTGTAAGTGCAATCACTCTATCCTATGTTCATTCTACTTCAATAAAGTAGCTTTTTAAAGGTGGAAAGATCTCAAGTTCCTCGCTCCCATAAGCAAATGCACAAAAAAAATATACATGTAAAGAGGAGGGTAGGAACAACAATCAAAAATTGAAATTCAAGGGGCTGGCATTGTGGAGTAATGGGTTAAGCTGCCGCCTGTGACACCAACATCCTTATGAGCACCAGTTCTAGTCCCAGCTTCTCCACTTCCAATCCAGCTCCCTGCTAATGTGCCCGAGAAAGCAGTAGAAGATGGCCCTAGTGCTTGGGCCCTTGCACCCAATTGGGAGACCCAGAAGAAGCTCCTAGCTCCTGGCTTTGGCCTAACCCATTCCTGGCTGTTGCAACCATTTGGGGAGTGAAACAGGAGATGGAAGATCTCTGTAAATCTTCCTTTCAAATAAATAAGTAAATCTTAAAAAAAAAATGGAAATTCAAGTCCTTTTCTCATTTCACATGGAAAACATAAATCTGAAAGAAGGAACTTACCTTTTCTCCCACAAACAGAGACTGTAATGCTATTGTGTGACTCAACTAGACGGTGGAGTTTTACAGATTGCTGAAAAAGAAGGAAAAAGAGAAAGCCTTATCTGTTTGAGTAGAGGTCCCAGATATTTTACTCAGTAAGGTGCTAGCTTTGTTTAAATATAAATCGGTTTCCGGCTGAACACACTGGCTGGAGACAAATGACAGAGCAGCCTCCTCCTCCACAGAGAAGGCACCCAATTCCTCGTGCTCCTCGCCTGGCAAGAAGTCTGTGCTCTTCTGCAGAGAGGCATTTCCCAGCATGCTCTTGGACTCAAAAGAGTTTTTGAAAACTACAAATTCGTGTTTAGTTCTTTAAATAGGTAGATTGCATCAAGAACACATAACTCAAGATATGCGTTTATGCCAAAATAGTTTAAAGAACGAAGCATTGTTTCAGCTTTGAGTTGTCCCATATTAGAGCTCCTAATCAGCTTGCTGTTTGAGGAGCTTGGTGATTCCTGTTACTTCTTTGTGGTTCAGTGTTCTAATGTAAGAAATATATGAAAGATTGAGAATGAATCCATAACAGGGACAGCAGAAGAATAAACTACAATTAGATCTGCTTCCCCATGTGTTGAGAAGGTGTTGTGTGGAAGACCTTCTAATTGATTTCAGGGGTGAAAAGTCCTAGCCCTCCACTGTGTGCACTTTGCTATCCTGATTTTGTAAAGTAAGACACTCTCTAAATTTCCCGACTTCAGATCACTTACAACTAACTGGGTTCTAAAAATGAGGAACAGAATAGGATGAAATGAAAACCAGAGTGTTCTGCTGTCGACTCATTCTTTTATTCACCGTGCATTCACTCAACAAACATTTACTGAGCAACCTTTGAGTATGCCAGGAACTATGCTAAGAGATGCAGTAGAAAAGTGAACAGAGACACAGCTTTTAACCATCAAGGAACTTACAATGTACTGAGCAAAATGCATTTCAATCAAACAATCTCCTCCATAAATGCATAATTACAATCAGCGTTAAGAAGAGGGGGAAAGTTCTTGGAGCATGTAAAACAAAGAAAACAAAGGAAAGCTTCCCTGAAGAAGCAACATTGAACCTAAGACCTGAGTAGGAGTGCTTTAATCAAAGGGGTGAGGGCAGTTCCAGGTGGCACGTCCAAACATTCTGTGGCTACAGAAAGGACTGTGTTTCAGAAAACAGACTGGTGTGGTGAGAGAGCAAGATGCAAGGAGGCTGGGTGAATTGAGGGAGGAGAGCTAAGTGAGAGCAAGTGAAAGTTACAAGTGCAGGCAGAGCAGTTCAAGCTACAGGCACCATAATGAAGAGACGCAGTTACAGCTTCAGGAGTTCAGTGTTCCTCAGAGAGCAGTCTGTGGATGCCTCAGGGCTTTCAGGAATTTTCTCATAGGGGCTGAGAAGTGAAAACTCTTTTCATAACACTACTAAGACATTAATCCACTTTTTAAATCCCATTCTCCCACAGAGGTACAGTGGGGTTTTCCAGACAGCGAATGAGTGTAATATCATAATAGACTGAACACAGAAACACTCCTGAGAATCTGTTTTCTACCAAGCCAAACATGAAAGACATTTGCAAAAATGTAGAACAATACCATTATTCTCACTAAATTATTTCCATTTCAGAAAACAGTTATTGCCTTTTAAAATATGTTTTATGTTTTAGCATGTAATGTGGTTAACACTGTTATTTTAAGGAATTAAGAAGTGAATATTTTATGATTTGAAATATCAAGACATAACCCATAAAAAATTAAAAATCCTTGAGGTCTTCAAAGAAAGTTAAGATTACTAAGATGCTAGAAAGTCAGAGAACCTCTGATTTAGAGTCTTAAAAGTCATGATGAGCTTTAGAAGTTTACTGTAATATAGCATCTAGGCAGTAACAGTATGGACATAATCATGTTGGGTTTACATTTCAAAATTGTGGTGCTGGTATTGAGGCTCAGTGGGTTAAGCCACCACTTGCACTTGTGATGCCAGAGTCCCATGTCAGAGTGCTAGTTCAAGCCAAGCTACTAAGCTTCCAATTGAGCACTCCTACTAATGCACATGGCTGGGGGTGGGGGTGGGCAGCAGAGGATGGTCTGAGTGCTTGGACCCCTGGCACCCATGTGGGAGACCAAGATGGAGTTCCTAGTTCTTTTTTTTTTTTTAAGATTTTATTTATTTATTTGAGAGGCAGAGTTACAGAGAGGGAGAGAGAGAGAGAGAGAGAGAGAGAGAGAGAAAGGTCTTCCATCTGCTGGTTCACTCCCCAAATATCCACAGCAGCCAGAGCTGGGCCAATCCAAAGCCAGGAGCCAGGATGTTCTTTTGGGTTTCCCATGTGGGTGCAGGGGCCCAAGCACTTGAGCCATCTTCCACTGTTTTCCCAGGCCATAGACAGAGAGCTGGATCAGAAGAGAAGCAGCCAGGTCCACCCATACAGGATGCCAGTACTGCAGGTAGAGGCTTAATCCACTATGCCACAGTGCCGGCCCAGAGTTCCTGGTTCTTGGCTTCAGCCTGGTCCATCCCTGTCTGTCTCAGCCATTTAGGGAGTAAACCAGCAGATGGAAACTTGCACTCTGTCTCTCTCTCTCTTTTTCTGACACTCTACCATTCAAATAAATAAATACTTCTTTTAAATGTGGTTCAACCTGCTATGTGGAATAGAGTTGGAGGCAGGCAAGAGCAAATGTAGGGAGACAAACTGTGAGACAATTGCCAGGCAGAGGATGACGGCAACTTGGACCAACATTGTTGAGGGGGAAAGTGAATAAGACCTGAAAAATCAACAGAAGTTGCTGTGTGATTGGGAGGGAGGAAAAAAGAGACAGTTGTAAGGATGGCAGCCAGGTCTCAGGGTTATCCAAACGAATGCTCAGTGGTGTCACCACGTGAGGTAAGTCTTAAGAGCTGATTTGGGGAGGAATTCTTGAGTTCGATGTTTCATGTCTTGAATTTAAGGTGATTTTTGGATATGAAGGTAGAGATATCAAACAGGCTGTCTGAGCTTTGTTTTTAAGGTGGAAGGGTTTTTGGAATGTCCCATGCTGATGAGAGGACTCGTCGGGAGAGGGAGAGAGAAGGACACACTCACAGACTGCATGGGCTCCCCAGTAGATGAGAGAAGTTGGCATCTCAAGCGAGTAAAGGGTGCTTTCTCCACTGCAGTGAGAAGTGTGTGCAGGCAGGGGCTGTGGAGATGTGTAGCTGGCAGTGGGAGAGTGGGGAGTTGAGCGAATTGTCAGATGACTTCTCTCTTCTCTGTGAAGTGAGTGGAGGGAGGAGCAATTGAACTCGAGGGAAAGTGGAGTACAGGAAAACAGGCATCTCAGAACCCTGAAGAGAGAGGTGACTTGGAAACTTAATTTCAGAGAATAGGAAAGCACCTGATCACAGGCATAGACAGCTTGCCCAGACGAGAGTGGCGTTCATGGATTCACAGTGCAACCAAGAAATCTGTTCTATGCAATTATTTTTCAGTAGTACCTAGGTCCTCTGGTGTAGACATTAGGAAAGCCAAGAGCTGAACTGGGGCCTTGACAAATGAGTACCAACCAAACAAAAAGGACAAAGCAGTTCATATTAAATGGAGACTCCTCCACCTTCTACCCTCCCACCACCTTCAAGGTCCGGCAGTGTTTTCTGCATATATTTCTTCACTCATGATTTTTGAACATTTGCGTATGCCTCTGGCTATCATCCCTGAGTGAACTAAAGAGAGGAAAAAAATAACTTGACAGGTCAGGACTTGGAATGGAAGGGAAGGGAGGGGACTAAGTCACTGAGCATGGCCTACATGCTGGACATTCACAATCTTGGGCTCAATCAATATGAAGTAGGCAGGACTATGTCCTGATTCTCCTTTCTAATAGAATTTCAATGAAGTCACTGCTGCTCTCTTTCTTTTTTAGACCACATAATTAACAGAAAAACTCACCTCTCTGAGATCATACACTGTCAAAGCTATGGAAATGATGGACATGATTATGATGGCAAAAGCGTATTCCTTATAGTCTTCACTAAACCACAAACAGACACTGAAGAGTTGAAATATGTAAAATGGATTTAGAACCTGTTGACAGACATAAAAATAGGAAGACAAGGGAGATAGTTAGGCTTCACACTTAGCTATTCACTGACTTGTTTGTTTTCATAGCCATCTCTCTGACATAAATCATCCCACACAATATTCTTCCTCTTATTGTTAAATTTATTCAGTAATTACCATTGTCAGATACAGTAACAGCAACTCTACCTGAATTTGTTCATTGAATTTTCATATAACCTTGTTAACTGGAAGTTACTAATTTATCTCCATTGTAAAGATAAAGAAACTGAGCCTTAGATCATGAGAAATTTGTCCAATCACACAGTTGTGATCATGGCTGAGTGAAGCCTTAAACCATGTCGGTCTGACCCCACAGCACTTATTTCTCATCGCTGCTGCACTTTATAGTTTACAAAGCAACGTCTCTTGCGTCATGATGGTGACCATCCACTAGTTGCATAAGGAGTAGATATTGACATCTCCCATTTACCTGCACTGACATTGAAAAAGCTGAAATTTTAGTTGGAGTGTACAAAGCTAAAAGACTGTCTTGCCTTCTACTCTGTGACATACTTTTAGGCCACTGCAGAACTTGACTTTAACAGATGAGTTGAAGGTTACTTTCTCCCATAAGTAGAAAGCTGAGTTGAAAGTGGTAAATTGTAATGAAGCATGAAGAACACTGTTGGGAGAGACTTTGACCCCAAGAGCTGTAATCCTGCTTTGCACCCTTGCTAAAATTCCCTCTGGTTGGTTTCTATCCAGCCAGACCCAGAATGGTAGCTCTTGCCTTTAGTCAGAGAAGTGTGTAAAAACTTCCTCTCAGTTTGCTTTGCCTTCTTTCGTGCTTCAAGGAAATATTGAGAAATTACCTTGAGATTAATAAGCATTTGTTTAAGGCAAGGATGAATGGAGGCCAAATGCAGATCTGGAATATCTACAGTACAGCTTTGTGGTAATGCTTTGACAATAATCACTGCAAAATGAAACATGAGGAGGCAGTGACAGCATTCGAGAGGAACATTCCACTCAGTAAGTGATCTGATCAGCAGGTCCTCCTTTCCCTCCATACATACACTGGCATCAGTAGAGCTTAGTAATGTTAAATAGATGATATTGTTCTCTCCAAAATTTTGAGTGCTGAGCAAATTGTATATGTTGCCTAAGAAAAACATTGTTTTTTAAAAATATATCAATTTAGTTTCACAAAATTGAAATGGGTGAGACAGCATAGTATTATGAAGGTAGGAAAGAAGGAAGGAAGGAGGGAGGGAGGGAAGGAGGGAGGATCAGCATATATTCAACCAGTCAACAGATAGTAAGTAAACACATGAGCATCACACCCTGCATTTTGTCAGTCAATGTGCAAAAGAGGCACCTGAAGACACACGTGAGATAAGATATGTGAAAAAAATATTCTTGACAGTCTTTCAAAATATCTCAGAAATTACAGTTATTTATTAATAAGTAGCATCCCTGATTGTTTGACTAAAATCAAATTTCTTTGTTTTCTACCCAACACTGGGAGGAAATACTGGTGAAATCACCTCTTTGATGAGCAGTTTCCAAATGGGTGTGATTTCAACATCAATGGTGTTAGGTCCACATATTAACCTCCTATAGGAAGAGAGCACAGGTCACTTAGTTGGCAATAATAACAAAGAAACTCATTTCTCACCCATCCAGAAAAAGATATACTCTCTTATCACTTTCTTGTGAGATCAACATAGCCCTCTCTTGTTGCATAACATTCCAATACTTCTCAGAATAACAGGAGGAAGGAGAGGGCCCCAGGTAAGAACACAACACACATGATCATATTGCTTCTCTTAACCTAAAATCTGTTGCCCCAAATAGTGATTTGGGTATTTCATGTTGCCCATTGTTTCATTCCAATAGTTTCAGGCCTGGCATAATCTCAATTCTATCTCTCCTCAATTCCAGTTCTATGGAAGAGGAATGAGATGGTCATTAAGAGAATATATTATCATCCTACCCCCTACTCAGAAGTCGTGGAATTGTGCAGAATTTCCTTCAGAGTAGAAAGATCTGGGGCTCTCAATATACAGAATTATACAGCTCTCTAAAAGAAGACCCAGAGATGCATTTTTGGATTATGCAGAAGAATGGTATTCTGACTTATTTTAACGGTTGAGAACATAAACCGCTCTCCTTAGACCTTCCACAGGGACACTCAAATCCAAAAGCTTGGCTGAATGTGATTAGAGCAGCACTTTCTTTTTTTTTTTTTTTTTTAAGATTTTATTTATTTAGTTGACAGGCAGAGTTACAGACAGAGAGACAGAGAGAAAGGTCTTCCTTCCATTGGTTCACTCCCCAAAAGGCTGCAACGGCCGGAGCTGTGCCAATCCAAAGCCAGGAGCCAGGTGCCTCCTCCTGGTCTCCCACACGGGTGCAGGGGCCCAAGCGCCTGGGCCATCCTCCACTGCCTTCCTGGGCCACAGCAGAGAGCTGGACTGGAAGAGGAGCAACCAGGACTAGAACCAGTGCCCATAGGGGATGCCGGCGCCACAGGCAGAGGATTAAACTAGTGAGCCACGGTGCCGGCCCCTAGAGCAACACTTTTAAACTATCATATTCATACAGATAACTTGATGAACTTGTTTAAAATGAAGATTCTCATCCAAAAGGGGTGAGGCATGGTCTCCCAGGGATGCTGACGCTCCAAGACTCTAGGTCGTCCCAGAGTACTGGAAGTGGAGTGAGGGAGAGTGTAAAATCATAGAAACAGCCCCAGCAGGACCTTCACAGAGTTTCACAATTTTAGAAACAAGGCCCAGAGAAAAGACATTTGTTCAGAGCAGCAGAGACTCTGACATCTCAGGGGCCGGCACCGTGGCTCACTAGGCTAATCCTCTGCCTGCGGTGCCAGCACTCCAGATTCTAGTCCCTGTTGGGGTGCCGGTTCTGTCCCGGCTGCTCCTCCTCCAGTCCAGCTCTCTGCGGTGGCCCGGGAAGGCAGTGGAGGATGGCCCAAGTGCTTGGGCCCTGCACCTGCATGGGAGACCCAGAGGAAGCACTTGGCTCCTGGCTTTGGATCGGTGCAGCGCCAGCTGTAGCAGCCATTTGTGGGGTGAACCAATGGAAGGAAGACCTTTCTCTCTATCTCTCTCTCTCACTGTCTAACTCTGCCTGTCAAAAAATAAATAAAGAGACTCTGACATTTCAGTGCCCCCCGCCAACATCCTCTGCCTCATAACCGCCTTGGAATTGGGAAGTAAAAGTCTTCCGTGGCATTCTTCTGTGGCTCCCTAATGGTTGTTATCTGAGGATGTGCAGATAATATATGTGAAAGCATTTAATTTAATAGTGCTAAATGGGGCATTATGATATTAATCAATTGACTAAGTGATAACAGTCCTTTGAAGTTATAGAAACAACAGTGTTCATGGTACCTAATCTCTTGTTCTTCTCTTGTTAGACCTGATCCAAATTTTAGGTGTATCTTGGCAGAACTGAGCCAGTCTTCCAAAGAACTAAAATAATAATAATTAGAAGAACATATTTAGTAATCATACTTCGGAGGTAATAATTTCCTCTACTGCATGCACTTGCTAGAAGAACTTACCCAATTTTCTGAAACTGTTCTTCCAAATTGTTCCAAACATATCTTATTTTTTGCACTTTTATGCATCTCACCTGCAAAAGAAAAGTACCCATTCTCTAGTTCGAGGATCAGAGAAGACACAACACCACACGGGCTGAAGAAGCATTTGTGGGAGAATTAAAAACAGAATCCTGATATATCTATCTATTTCACCATTCCTGAACTTGTCTATCCTTTCCTACTGCACAAATGGCACTCTTTATTAGAAATCGTAATTCAGGAGCTGGTGCTGTGGTGCAGCAGGTTAAGCTGAGGCCTGCAATGTCAGCATCCCACAGGGGCTTAGTTTTGAGTAATGACCCAACTCCCTATTAATGCACCTGGGAAAGCAACAGAAGATGGCCCTAGTGCCTGGGCCCCTTCACCCACGTGGGAGACTCAGAAGAAGCTCCTGGCTCCTGGCTTTGGCCTGGCCAAGAGCTGGTCATTGCGGCCACTTGGGGAGTGAACCAGCAGGTAGAAGATCTCTCTTTCTTAGCCCTTCTTCTCTCTCTGTAACTCTGCCTTTCAAATAAATAAATAAATCTTTAAAAAAAACAGTCATAATTCAGAAACATTTATCACAGGCCTACCATGTGGGTAAATGTATTAATTAATAAATAAACCCACTCTCTGCAGTCTACCATTTTGTAAATTGAGAAGAAAATATTCCAAAAAGAGAAAGCTATGTTATATAGTTCAGTATGTGCATGTCGTAGAAACAAAGACATAATGAAGTAAAAGCATAGTCTTGAAGCTCTATGGAACGAAAATGGTGGAAGGCATCCTGCAGATGACAACTGAGCTCCAACACTGGAAAACTGGAAGAAGGTGGCTCAGGTGAGAAGAGAGCAGGGCACTTTAGGAGTGTGTAGAAGTTAGCTGAGGAGTAGGGGGCAAGGGAGTGGGTCCCTGTGACTGCAGCATGGGGAGCGAAACCAGAAGAGTAACTAAGACCAGAGAGCAGATTGTGAGCGGCCTTAATGCGAGGATAAGGGATTTGGGACTTCATCTCACAGGCTGTGGGCCTTGGAGTAACCTACAGGGGACGCTGAAAATGATTAGGCTGGTAACAAATACTTAAGGGGAGAGAGGAGGCTATTGCGGGAAAGTGGACCCCAGAGAGCGAGGGCCTGAGGGTGCTGGCAGAGGAGAGGGACGGGCGAACACTGGTGAGGGACTGCTCTCTTGCTCCTGTGTGAACGTTCTGTGTGAACCTGATTTCCATGAACCGCTGGCCTACCCAAGCACAAAGAGAAGGAATGAGACTGTGATATTGCTCTGAGGAAATGGTTCTAGTCCCAGACTTCTCAAGGAGCCTCAGAAAACACTTGTGCTTGCCCGGGCCTTCCGCCACCCGCAGATTCTGATTTAGTGCCTGCAGTGCTTCATGGGCAAGATATTTTAGAATTTCCCCAGATGATTTGAATGTGCAGCCGAAGTTGAGAAACAGTGCTCATGACTTCCTTTTATAGCTATTGTGTGCTTCAACTAAATTTCTTCAGCTGAATTTCTTTGCACCTCAGTTTCTCCATGAATAAATTGAGGTAATTGGCCAGATAATGTTTGAGTTCCACTTCAGCTCCTCTGTCTTCTATACCTAGGAATATTACAGTCAGTGTAGCCATTAGATAGTAAATTATAAAACTGGAAACAGTAGATAGCTGGAACATTTTAAGTGCTCAATACATTTTTGATTAAATAAATGAAGGGATGCTTTTCAAAACCATGTCAACCAGAAATATAGTTTAAATCCCTGCACTCCAATGCAAAGTTACCTCAAATGAACCTTGATCCTACCCATTAAGCATGTGCGTGCACGTGTTTGTTAACAGTTAGCAAGCAGAAGTGTGAAATGCTTTATTTTTTTTCTTACGGAATGAATTTATTTCAATGAGGTTAGTTGCAAAATAAAGTATTAGAAATGTATCCCATATCTAACTGATTTTCATTACAAAATTGAAGGGAATTGTCACTGGTAATACTTCTTCCATAAGCTAAAAATTAGAGGGCAGAGTATTTGAATGTGTCCAACCCTGAAGCAAACGAGCAGTCCTGGTCCTAAGGGAACCTCAAGTTTCTTGCCTCAGAATTTAACTTTCCATCTCAATATTCCCTAAAGTTTTGCAAAGACAGCTGGAATGTAATGACGGCCACTATTTTTGTTAACAACTTAAGGCTCTTGGGGCCAGTGCTGTGGCATAGCGGGTAAAGCCACTGCTTGCAGTGTCAGCATCCAATATGGGTGCTGGTTCAAGTTCCAGCTGCTCCATTTCCGATCCAGCTCTCTGCTATGGCCTGGGAAAGCAGTGGAAGATGGCCCAGGCCCTTGGGCCCCTGCACCCACGTGGGAGACCTGGAAGAAGCTCCTGACCCCTGACTTCAGATCGGCGCAACTCCAGCCATTGCAGCTATCTGGGGAGTGAACTAGTGGATGGAAGACCTCTCTCTTTCTCTCTCTCTGCCTCTGCCTCTCTGTAACTCTGCCTTTCACATAAATAAATAAATAAATCTTTAAAAAATAAACTTCATGCTCTTCACATATTATCATTAGTCTTTTCACCTTCCTGTGATAGGATAGATAGGGTTTTCATCATCACTTTGCACTTGAAGTTCATTTTGTCAAGTAACTTGCAAGGCTGGAATTTTAGCTCCACTCCATCTAACTTCGATGTTCAGTCCCTCAAAGGATACAATATAAAATTTTCAAAAGAAAATCTAAAAATCCCTTTACATCATGATTCTAGTTGTATAAAGTGAAGATTGTCTACTTTATTAATTCCATGCATTTGAAAATCTTTTTTTTTAAAGGTGGGGGGTGTGTGTAAAGGAGACTCTGCCATAGAATGGGAGCCCTGAGGAGTTAGAGAACCTCTATGGAGAGGTGGTGAAACCACAGACAGTCTGAGACATGCACAATCATCGGAGGCGTGGACCATCCAGAGATGAAGGCGGCACTCACAGGGAGTAACAGCTGACTTGTGCATTTTATCTCAGGCCTTCAACTAGGAACCGTCTGAGGCTCTTTGAGGCCATTCCTCATGCGGTGAGAGGGCGAGTCCAGCATGGACCTTTGAAGCATCTTTGAGATTCCCCCAGCAGGCAACTGCTCTGCCTGGAGCGTATCTGCTCTCCTCATCACCTTCAGGGCCTCTGGAAGCTGGGAAGAGGTCAAGAGAGGGATGAGTTCATTTGCTCATTTCCAGGCACTTCGGGTCAGGACACCTAACTAGGAGACTGAGCATCTCCTGCGGGGTGGATTCCATCTTTCCTCTGAGGGACCAGGAAGAGCTCCTCTCCCCAGGCTTCTTGCTCTGCAGTTCTTGTTGGCACACGCTCTCAGGGCATCCTGTTTAACAGGTTAAGCAGCGGGTTTCAGTTCTGCCTGCAGTCCTGCAAGATGGTCCTTAGAGCCTCCTCAGCCTCCTTTGCAAACCCGACTTGGTTTCTTTGGGGCAGCCTTCAAAGTCCTTGCAGAAGGCCCTAAATGATGACCACCTCGGTGCTGTGGGTGCTGTTATGGACACCAGTGCTTCAGTGTCTTAGACGTCTCCAATCTGATCAAAGTTCTGGCCCTATTGTGAATATAGCTCATTGCAGTTCACAAATCACCTTAACATGTGTCTTCTTATTTTAGGTTCACAATCGCCCTGAGAAACAGGCAGAGAAGGATTATTGCTCTAGTTCTGTAAATAAGAAACTCAAGACTCCAGGGAGACAGCCAGTAGCCCAACTCCCTATATCATGAGCTGGCAAATGAAGGTATCAAGCTTTTTGATAGAGAACTTTCCATTTTAAGATCTCTGCCCCTCCCTCAGTTTCTGTTTGTTTATTTGAGCATCTCTTTCATTTGGCTGTGCACTTATTTATTCAATGCAATTAAAGATGCAAGAATTTCAGGACAATAGGCCCTGAGGCCAGGTCCCTAAGGCAGACTTGGGAATCCTACCTTTCCAGGTGAATGAGGCAATCTGCTAGGAGAAGGGACTTGAGCTCCTCTGTTACGTTTATTTTGGCAGCTAAGACTATGAGGTGAAAACAATTGACAATTTAAAAAAAGGCTGGCAATTGACTTTTAGTATTTGAAAAAGCTGACCTTGAACTTCTAAAGCAAACAGCTGTCTACATATATAAATGAAAGAGAAAACAATTTGTCTTATAAAATGTGTTGTAATATGAATGTTTACTAGCCATATTCTGAGACGGATTCATTTACTATAGTGAAGAGGGAGTATCCCAAATACCTTTGAATGACAAAATTCAAAATGAGGTCATTTTGTAGCTGTAAGAAAACTGCCTGGAATGTTCCTGGATGATTTTCTTTTACTGTAAGGTGAACACAGGTTACAACACGGAGCATGACATTATTAGCAGCTAATAGGTTTGGAGATCTTTTATGTACCTGGCACTGTATTGATCATTGTATTCCTTAATTTACTGAACTTCACCAATTAATATCAGAGATGAGCATTATCATCATTTTATTGAAGAGAAAATTGAGGCTCAGCAGAGCTAGTTGGTCCAGAACTGCACTGCTTAGAAGGACAAAGCTGAGATTTGGAGCAAGCTCTCTCTGGCTCCAAAGTCTGTGTTCATCACACTGTCAGTGGAGGATTGGCACCAGGGAGGACCTAGACTTAACTTTGTGGTACTGGGTTAGATTTCTCTGGCATCAGCAATAGCCCTAAGTGGTCTTACCTCTAGGTCCGGCTTTTTGATGGCTCTGTTTATGATATACTCCTCATCAGCAATGACAGGGTGGTCAGGAGTGAGACCGAAGGCACTGCCCAATGCTGCCAGGTGGATCCATGTTACCTTTTTCCTAGAGTAAGTCTGGAATTCATCCTGAGGAAACAGACACCAAATACCCATGAAGTTAAGAGAAGTCATCGGGCTACAGCTCAACCTGAAAAACATCATTTTCATACAGCTCTGTATGTTTGTGGGGTTAATGAACATTCTAGGCTGGGGCTGGCGCTGTGACATAGCAGGTAAAGCTGCCATTAACAGTGCTGGCATCCTATGTGGGCGCCGGTTTGATTCCCAGCTGTTCCACTTCCAATCCAACTCTCTTCTGTGGCCTGGGAAAGCAGTAGAAGATGGCCCAAGTCCTTGGGCCCCTGCAACCACATGGGAGACCTGGCTTCGGATCCGCGCAGCTCTGGCTGTTGTGGCCATCTAGTGAGTGAACCCGTGGATGGAAGACCTCTCTCTCTCTCTCTCTCTCTCTGCCTCTCGGTAACTCTGCCTTCAAATAAATAAATAAATCTTTAGAAAAAAACATTCGAGGCAGAGTTAGATGTCTTTGAAAGATGATGGATATAGAGATTGAGGGGAGGCTTGTCCTCGGGTGTTAGGGAATCTGGAGAGGATGGTGAAGCATGGACACACACAGCAGGAGGCGTTGGCTCAGACAAGAACCCACTTCCCCCTTTGCCTCCCAGCCCATGGGGCTACGGCCTGGTGGAAAAGTTCACAAAGGAAACAAACAAAAAACAAGCATTTCCAAGGTTAGGGTATCTCCAAGGTTCGGGCATGACACCATCCCCATCTTTCAAGCCTTAACTCAAAGTTCCCCCTTTTCCAGATAAGCCCCTTTAACACCCTCCAACAACAACAACAAAAAAGAAATCTCACTGTGCTAACTCCAAAGTGCATTAGCAATGTCTCTTGCGCTCCTGATCATTTTCTGCCTGAGTTGTCTTAATCTTTCTAGTCCATCTTGAAGGCAGCGACTGTATTTTAGTGTTTCTTATCTCTCCCTCAGTGTGGAGCACTGAGACCTGCACAGTGAGAGGACAGTGAATGGAAGAAAAAGATCAGGGGGCCAGCGCAGTGGTGCAGTGGGTTAAAGCCCTGGCCTGAAGCACCGGCATCCCATATGGGCGCCAGTTCTAGTCCTGGCTGCTCCTCTTCCAATCCAGCTCCCCGCTATGGCCTGGGAAAGTAGTAGAGGATGGCCCAAATCCTTGGGCCCCTGCACCTGTGTGGGAGACCCAGAAGAAGCTCCTGGCTCCTGGCTTCGGATCTGTGCAGCTCCGGCCGTTGCGGCCATCTGGGGAGTGAACCAGTGGAAGGAAGACCTCTCTCTCTGTCTCTACCTCTCTCTGCAACTCTGTCTTTCAAATAAATAAAAGAAAAAGATCAGGTCCTTGGAAGGAATAATGTCCAAAGGTCATTGTCAAGACTTCAGCACAGGTAGGATTGAAGAAGGTACCTTAGTGTGTGACCCTAATTGCAATTGCTTCCCTTTGCAGTTCACTTTATCACAGAATAAATCAAGAGGGAAAAGCACCAAATGAGCAAATACTGCAACTGCCTCTTACCCTCTGTGCTAGCCTACATTTTGCTAAAAATTACAGTTACTTTGGATTGCCATTTTGACATCCAGCCTCAGCTTGGGACTTCCAAACTATAGAGTTTCAATGATAAATTTGGTAAGAAAGCACCTAATTCGGTTCAGTGCTATGGCATAGTGAGCTAAGCCTCCGCCTGCAGCACCGGCATCCCATATGGGCGTCAGTTCATATCCCAGCTGCTCCTCTTCTGATTCAGCTCTCTGTTATGGCCTGAGAAGGCAGTAGAAGATGGCCCAAGTGCTTGGGCCCCTGCACCTGGGTGGAAGACCTGGAAAAACTCCTGGTTGCAGGCTTCAGATCAGCCCAGCTCTGGCCATTGCAGCCATTTGGGGAGTAAACCAGAGGATGGAAGACCTTTCTCTCTGTCTCTCCCTCTGTCTATAACTCTACCTCTCAAATAAATAAATAAAATCTTTTTTTAAAAAAGAACATTATTTATAGGTAAATGGAAACACAAATGATAAAATATCCATCAAGACCAGAGACCTCAGGGGACCAAGTAAAGGTAATTAAGAAGACAGCTAGTCTTGATCCTCTTAAGTGAATAAGTGAATTAAAATAACACTAACTATAAATTTTCATCTGATTACTTAGAAATTTATAAAATCTTTATGTATTAGTTACCTTGTTTTTGCCTCACAATTCTTCAAAGTCATTATTATTATCATCTTCATTTTGCAGATGAGAAAACTGACCATCAGCAAAGTTAAGAACTGTTCAAGTAAGTCTGGTCTGATCAGTAGGGACAGAATGAGGACCTGGGTCAGGTCTTCCCACTGTAAGACTTGGCTCTTTCATCTTTGTTTCAACAAGTAGCACATGGTATGGGTGTATGTGTATAGCTTGTGTTTGAAAATCATAAACATCTGAGCTGTGTAGAAAAAAAAACAGCCAGTTTATCACAATCTCTGCTGCCTTGGCAATACAGATTCTGATTCCCTAAATCAAGCTGTCACCCCCTGGCCCTGTGTGACAGCTAACAGATCTTCTGACTATAATAGCTAAAGAGGGGAAAGCAAGGTAGACCAGTGGAATGCACAACTTCTTCAAGGTCAAGGTTGGGGCAGGTGTTTGGTGCTTAAAATGCTTGCTAGGATAGCTGGATTTGAGTTCCAACTGTATTCCATCTTCCTGATGATGAAAATCATGGGAGTCAGCAGGTGATTGACTGGGTCCCTGCCACCCAGGTAGGAGACCTGGATTGAGTTCCTGGCTCCCAGCTTCAGGCTGGTGCAGCCCACATGATGTGAACATTTGGAGAATAAACCAGTAGATGAGAGTGCTCTCTCACTCTCTCTCAATCTCTCTCTCTCTGCCAATCTCTCTCTGTCAATCTCTCTCTCTCTCTCTCTCATCCCTCCCTCTTACATGGTTAAAACAGTAAATAATTGTTTTGTAAAAAGGCAAATCTTAATTTAATGCTTCAGCTGTGTGCTTAGTCTAAGTGACCATTAAAAGGAAGCTTCATCTCTACACCTACAAACTTATATGAAGGCAATTTTAAAAGTTCATGGGGAATGGCTGGCACCGCAGCTCACTAGGCTAATCCTCCGCCTGCGGCGCTGGTACCCCGGGTTCTAGTCCCGGTTGGGGCACTGGTTCTGTCCTGTTTGCTCCTCTTCCAATCCAACTCTCTGCTGCAGCTCAGGAAGGTGGAGGATGGCCCAAGTGCTTGAGCCCTGCACATGCATGGAAGACCAGGAGGAAGCACATGGCTCCTGGCTTCGGATCAGCACAGCGCCGGCGGTGGTGGCCACTTGGGGGTGAACCAACGGAAGGAAGACCTTTCTCTCTGTCTCTCTCTCTCTCACTGTCTAACTCTGCCTGTCAAAAAAAAATTCATGGGAAAAAAAAAAAAACAGAATTAAAAGTTGTTTGTTTTATGCAAAAAATTTCAAAATTCATGCATAGTTTTCCCATAACATGTAGTTTCCATGAGCTTTTTGAAGATCCCTTACCACTTATAGCATCACTAAATCAAAGGTGCTTTATTTTCTGTCTATTGCATTTAAGTTTTTTCCTCTCATTGTAAGCCCCAAGTTCAAGTATTCATAATTCTATATAATGCAAAAATAGAATTCTATAAGCAAAATAAACGATAGAGTCATTTTTCTTAGAGTATTGTAGTGACACTGACTTGTCTCTTGTTTTGAACCCTGTTGAAGATTCTAAGGGGAAAAAAGCAAATACATGGAAGGAAAGTATGTCAATAGGTAGTGACCTATTTAAGTGTTATCACCAGCTGCTCTCAGTTTTCAGTTTGCCATTGGCCATTAAAGAAAGAACAGGGGCTGTTCTTGGAAGCCTTTGAGCCCAGCTTTCTTTATTCAGGGAGTGGGTAGTATAATAACACCACATTTCATGGATGAGCAAAGGATTTGATAAAACGATGCACCTGGTCCCAGGTCTGCCCTCTAACAAGGGTGCAACAAATGCTAGTTGGCATATGGTGCCTTGCCTCACTTTTTACAGATGTGGTTACTGAGATCTCTCTGGAACTTATTTTTCCTTCAAGAAAAGTTTAGGCTCTTTTACCATCTATTTTTTTTTTCCACTTTAGTCTGTTTCCTGCATCATTCAAGCACTTCATGATTTGTAAAATACTTACATGCACCAGTGGACCTCCCATTTCAAATAGTTGGTTTAAATACAAATAAGTCAAACAGTTTGCCTGGCAAATCTGGACTGTTCACATCTCAAGTCTCACGGGACAGGTTTTACCTTCTCTGTATCAAGAGAAATCACCAGGTCAGCCCTTGAATTCTAAAACAGTAGGTTTTAAAATAATCCAATAATGGGTTTCAAAAGTTGAATATACACAGAGGACATATGTTTGACCCAGACAGAAAAAGAGAGGGAGAGACCTTAGCATTTTTTTATTTCCTGTGGACTTGCACTTTCTGAACCTGGAAATGTCAGGCTAACGTTTGTATTTCGCTGGCGTGAATTATCTCATGCCAACTTTCTCTACAAGATCTCATCCCTGGGAATTTAAAAGCAGTGTAATGGTCACTTCAAGTTCAGACCAAAGCTGTGACTCCTGTGTGGGAGTTCACTACACAAAAAAATGAGCTTGCATTAAAAAAAAAAAAGAACTTATTACACAGTTCCAAAGAGACATCAGAAAATGAGTGCTTTTCGCTTGGAGATGGATACATTGCAACACTAAAAGCCTGAACTCCAGCTAAGGTGAAGGATTTAGAGGACTGCCACCAAAGCAATAATAACATATTTCTCAGGCTCTTCTAAAACACTGTAACTTTGACAAAACACTATTCTTTTTATATGTTAGCATCTTCTCTCTCTCTTTCTCTCTCCCTCCCTCTCGGCCAGACCCATTGATGTTCTCGACATCTTGACCTCATATTCCCAATATTGCTTAGTTAGAAAAAGTTAACATTGGCTAGAATGTAGAACTTAGTTAGAAGAGATAAAGAGAAAATTCTAAGCACTGGAAAAAATCTTACACTCAATAGTCTCAATACT